GTATCCTGTATCCTGTATCATGTACCCTGTATCATGTATCCAGTATCCAGTATCATGCACCTAGTATCATGTACCCAGTATTTAGTTTGTATATATGTATGAAGCCAATTTTTTACAGATTGATTCTTGCTGAAGAAGTTTAAACCCTCTTACATGAACTGAACACAAAGGACAATGAATGAAAAATTGAATTTGAACGTTTTTTTTCAAAAATGGGATTTTTTTCGAAAATTGTACTGATTGTACAGATTTTTAAAAAAAATGTACGGATTTAAAAAAAAATGTACGGATTGGTTTAAAAAAATGTACGGATTGTACGGATTTTTAAAAAAAAATTGTACGGATTGTACGGATTTTTTTTCAAAAATTGTACGGATTGTCCGGATTTCTTCTGAAAATGTACGGATTTGTTTAAAAAAGTTTTGGCCACCCTGAATTTATCCTATCCTACCATTTTTTGTTTCTGAATTATAATATCGAATCAAAGTGTAATCAAGAATTATTCTCTGTGATGGCACAAAATGGGGGGTTGGGTTTTTGAAAAAGTGGGATTCCCTTTTTCCATTTTCAATAATTGGAAAGAATCAATTGTAAATATTTACAATATTAATAAGATGGCTGAATGATATTGGATTGTTAAACAGGGAGGAGATAACACAGATGGAGGTCAACCTATGCCAGGAGACTGATAAACTAGAGCAGACTAATCAAAGAATATCAGTTCTACAGACCAGGTACATATCCTCCCCTTCCTAGCTGTAGGTCAACCTATGCCAGGAGACTGATAAACTGGAGCAGACTAATCAGAACACAAATTTTATATATTTAGATGCACTGAACAGGACTCATTGTTGGAAGAAAACAGAGATATCATTTCTAAGGTATTGAAGCTTAAAACTCGAAATTTTTCTTTTGCAAGTTTCAAATCTAATATAAATTTTTTCAAGAATTTAAGAATTAAAAACCCCTTGACTTAACAAAAATATGGATTTTTTTATCAGCAATTGCGGTTTTCTATAAAAGTGACTTGTAGATATTTTCAAGATAGACAAGCGAAATTATCTTCCTCGTCGTCAGTACATTTATTCAACTTACGAGTTGTGGTTATGAAGCTTGTAACGACAAATAAAGACACAAATAGCAGATAAGGTTTCAGGGGTGTATATTGCTAAGAATTACCCCCTTTTCCCCTGGGGGTGGGGGGGGTATGGTTATTTTTCATCTTTCTTCATATTTTTTACTCAAAAATTTGTTCATTTTCCGATCAAAATCATTTATTTTCTCCAATTTAACATATAAAACCCTACGTAATGATTTTTCATTTTAATAAACACCCCTGTTAGGTTTTTTATGAATTTTTCAAAAGTATTTGCATAAGTTATTGATCAGTTAATACAATTTATGAAAATATTACAATTTATATTTGATAAAGCTGGAGGAGGTGAACAGTTTGCTGCAGGATAAAGAGAAAACATTGATAGATGAGATTTCTCTTCTTCAGCTCCAGGTAGATAATATTCTCATATAACAGGGAGATAAAGATAAATCATTGACAGATGAGATTTCTCTTCTTCAGCTTCAGGTAGATAATATTCTCATATAACAAGTGCTCGCAACGTTTGTTTTTTGTTGCATCAACCTTGTATTTGAAACTTTAATTTTTTAATGTCTTTAAAGTAAAATAATAAAAGTACAAGAGTCTAAAAAATTGTTTTAAGAGTTACATGTTCGATTCACAATGGTAACTAGTAAACTTTTGTTTGAGTAAAAGAATGGAGTTGTCCTTTTTCAATTTGCAGATTGATCATGTCCAATTGTGGTTTTCTATAAATGTGACTTGTGGATTATGCATCCTAAACAAGGGAAGAAAATCGATGATTTCAGCAAGATTGAAAAACGAAGATATCGTCCTCAATCCTCATTGTTAATCCACTTAATAGAAGGGATTGAAATCAACAATGTAACACTTTAAATTATGGGTCACTTGAAATTCAAGAAGATTTAAAGATTCGAACAAAAAATTCTGTGATGAAATACAACTTATAAATAGAAATTGATCCGTTTCAGTTTGATTTAATTATTGAAAAAATGAAGTATATACTATATACCATTTACAACATTTTATTCAAGGTTGAGAATCTGAAGAATAAAGAGGCTGAAGCTGACGATAAGATTAAAGAAATTAAGAATAATATTGAACAACTCAATGATAAACTTGACGCTGAGAATATTCTCTCGAAAGAAAAAGATGAAAAGATAAAAGATCTTGAAACAACTATTGCGGAGATTAAAGTGAGACATGAAGAAGGTTTAAAAGCAGCTGAAGACACCAGGGAACAGTTGGTTCAAGCACAGTCTGCTGTGGCTTTACTGGAAGCAAAGTTAAAGGGGTTAACCAAGGTAAGTGCATCTTTTTCACAGAATTTTTTGAAATAGTATTCCTTAAACCTAATAAATGAAGAAAGAAACATATTTTACAAACTTTTTTTTTTAAATTTAAATTTTAAATTTAAAAAAAAATAGTTGCAAATGTTTTAGCAAAAACAATAATATTATGAACATCATAAAATCGGTAGAAACAAAGATAGATCATGGTTAAATGTTTTCAAGATTTCCCCCCTCCCTCCCCCCCTTCCCTGCAGAAATTGAATATCAAAATGCAAGAGGCAAACGTACTTTTTACCACAAAATTTATTATTTTCCCCAATTCAGCAAATACATCCGCCCAGAATATCTGGAGGTATAAATGTTGTACAAAAAGAGAGGGCCAAGAATGATTTTTCAGTAATGTCTATATAACCTTGTAAGATGATCGTCAAAATATTTTGGAAAACATTTTGACTGCTCATAACTTCTTGTATTGTAGGATTTGGAGTCAACTAATGGTGAGAAAAGTACTCTTGAAGAATCTTTATCTAAGGCAGAAATACAAGTTTTGGAACTTGAAAACAAAATTATGGAGCTAAAGGTAAGCCTTGGAGAAAATTAAAATTGTAAAGGGACTGTAAAGTGAAAATGAAATGGGGTATAGACTGAAACCTGAGAATTTTAGGAGTTGAATAGGGAGGAGATTGGGGATAGGGGATACACTGGAGCTAGTAACCTAGAGTAAACTAGGATATATTCATGTTTAGGTGAATAGGGAGGAGATAGAGGATAGTTTACTGGATACACTGGATCTAGTAACCTAGAGTAAACTAGGATATATTAATAATTAGGTTAATAGGGAGGAGATAGTTTACTGGATACACTGGAGCTAGTAACCTAGAGTAATCTAGGATATATTCATGTTTAGGTGAATAGGCAGGAGATGGGGGACAGTTTACTGGATACACAGGAGCTAGAAACCTAGAGTAAACTATGATATATTCATGTTTAGGTGAATATGGAGGAGATAGAAGATAGTTTACTGGATACACAGGAGCTAGAAACCTAGAGTAAACTATGATATATTCATGTTTAGGTGAATAGGGAGGAGATAGGAGATAGTTTACTGGATACACTGGAGCTAGTAACCTAGAGTAATCTAGGATATATTCATGTTTAGGTGAATAGGGAGGAGATAGGAGATAGTTTACTGGATACACAGGAGCTAGTAACCTAGAGTAATCTAGGATATATTCATGTTTAGGTGAATAGGTAGGAGATGGGGGATAGTTTACTGGATACACTGAAGCTAGTAACCTAGAGTAAACTAGGATATATTCATGTTTATTTGAATAGGGAGGAGATAGGAGATATTTTACTGGATACACGGGAGCTAGTAACCTAGAGTAAACTAGGATATATTCATAATTAGGTGAATAGGTAGGAGATAGGGGATAGTTTACTGGATACACGGGAGCTAGAAACCTAGAGTAATATAGGATATATTCATGTTTAGGTGAATAGGGAGGAGATAGGGGATAGTTTACTGGATACACAGGAGCTAGTAACCTAGAGTAATCTAGGATATATTCATGTTTAGGTGAATAAGGAGGAGATAGGGGATAGTTTCCTGGATACACTGGAGCAAGTAACTTAGAGTAATCTAGGATATATTCATGTTTAGGTGAATAGGTAGGAGATAGGGGACAGTTTACTGGATACACAGGAGCTAGAAACCTAGAGTAAACTATGATATATTCATGTTTAGGTGAATAGGGAGGAGATAGGAGATAGTTTACTGGATACACAGGAGCTAGTAACCTGCCTAGAGAGTAAACTACATGAACAGTTTGTACAGCACAAGTAAGTGGATTTATAATGGTGGGGGAGGGGATTTATAAGCATTGATTTGGTCAGTGATCCGCATCATTTTAGCTAGCTCCCTGGCTCCTCAAAAATATGCAGATTCGAATTTAAATGTCAAAATATTAGCCAAAACATTCGAGAGAGAGAACTCTTATTGCTCTCGTAAAATCCATTTAAATGAGATTTAATTGAACCCTTCTTAATAATTGAAGAGTAAACCACGTTTCTACAGAAAAATTATTGAAAAAAGAAGAACAAAAATTGAAAATTTGTTTTTGTTGAAAAAAATAATTAAAACGTTAAGAAATATTTAAAGGCTGGATCCGGATACAATATTTCACGATAGTACCGATGCAGGATCTGGATCCGCATCAAAATGAAATGGCTCCTTAGCAATAGTTTATCCTGATTAACACCATTTTGTTCAGTTTCTTATCAAATCTGTTTAAAGTAACTAGATTTTTTTAGAGATTTTATATTGGCCAACTACTTTTTTTTTAAAGCAGGGGTGGGGTTCCTGATTTATAATCAATGCCCTCGATCCAGATCCGTTTGATCCGCAACATTTTTTCTTTCTGGATGCGGATCCGCAAAATATTGCCGATCCAGGGGTCAAAATATAAACAAAAACCCCAAATCTGAAAAGAGAGATTATAAAAATTGTTCATATCTTTATAAGGTTCATCAAGTTTTAGCATAAAAATAAGCGAAAAAAGAGGATTTTTTTTTCATAATTCTCCGTTTAAAAAATCAGTAAATCTTTCAGAAATGTTCATTAACCAGATCCGGATCTATTGTTTGCCTGTGCTATCCGCATTTAAGCCAAAATCAAATGGATCCTGAGCACTGTTAATTAATTATACTGGTTAAGAATGTTTATATTAAGATCCGAAGAGGATAGGTTGTGTGGTGAGCTGAGGAGTGCTCAAGGTACCCTGGAACAACTGAAGAGAGAACGAGGCAACCTTATAGAGATTAATACAAGCCTTTCAAACCAGGTTATTTTAGTATTGATATTGTATTTCTGGAAGAAAGAAAAAAAGAAAAAAATTGTGTTGGTATGCAGTAAATGTCGTATTCTTAAAACTTCGTCCAGAACTGTATCAATCCAGGCACAGCTCAATCTAACTTTGCTATCAATATCAAATCAGACACGATCTCATCAGCTATCAGTGTCAACATGGACACAAACTTGTGATCTATCAATGCCAAACCTCTAGGCACGATCTCAGCTCGTATGTTTCGACTAGGTCCAAAGTACTCCAAACACTGTATTTAAAGCGGAGTCTCTAATCAACTAATCCGTGTTTAAAAAAGATATGTTACATGTTAAGTTCTTTTACGTATTTACAATATTACGCAAATATATATCATCGTAGTTAAGCTAATCACTATACGTAGCTGCTACAAGTTTTGCGTATGTGTGGATTAGCGCAGTTAGATTTACAGACAATGTACAACGCAATTTATCTAGGCATGTTCAATTTGTATTTATTAATAGCACCTACAGAACACGCCTTGAGAATGAAATCGTTATTTAACTTTTAAGCACAGATAATTACTAATAAGAAAGTAATTAACCACGAACAGGCAAATATTTTCAAACAAACAATAAAGTAGTATATAGAATATGTTTTGTCCCATTTAAAAAATTAACTTTCCTCTGCAGACCATCCTTCTGGTGAAATTTATAACCTAATTTATTATCATACTTACGTTACACAGCAGGTCTCACCCTTTTGATTAACCTAGGTGTCTGAGAGCCTGCATGCTATTGCGAACCTACAAGATAGAGAGAAAACCCTGGGAAAACAATGCCAGGTAAGGGTGCAACAAAAAGTTGACTATAATACTGTTTTTCTTTGGAATATAATTCCACTATCATCATGATTACAAAGTTTTTGTCTTTGGAATTTAAATGTGTGGAGGAGCAAGCAGGATTTTGAGGGTGGGGGGGGGGGATTTATTTTGACAAACAGGTAAACGTTAAATGAGTTTCAGACAAATGTCACTTTTTTCTGGAGTTAAGACCTTGATATTTTCTTGATTCCGATATTTGGTGCAGGAGTACCAGGTGCAGGTGGAGGTGTATGAGGAGGAGGGGGAGAGGGAGAGAATGAGGCTGCAGGAGGCCGAGGTGGAGGTGTTCAGTCTCCAGGCTGAACTTGAGTCTGCTCTGACAGAGATCGGAGAAATGGAGGCAGAGAAAATAATTCTTAGAGAAAGGCAAGAGAGTAATAAAGTAAAAAATAAGAGTTTTCATCCCCCACCACACCACCCCTTCCCCCCATTTCCTGTCTGGGCTAGCTAGGTTCCAGTTTATGATCAATGTCGGTGTTAAGGTTCCAGTTTGTGATCTATGTCGGTGTTTAAGTTCCAGTTTATGATCTATGTCGGTGTTAAGGTTACAGTTTATGATCTATGTCGGTGTTAATGTCCAGTTTATGATCTATGTCGGTGTATAGGTTCAAGTTTATGATCTTTGTCTGTGTTAAGGTTACAGTTTATGATCTATGTCGGTGTTTAGGTTCCAGTTTATGATCTATGTCGGTTTTTAGGTTCCAGTTAATGATCTATGTCTGTGTTAATGTTTCAGTTTATGATCTATGTCGGTGTTTATGTCCAGTTTATGATCTATGTCGGTGTATAGGTTCCAGTTTATGATCTTTGTCTGTGTTTCCAGTTTATGATCTATGTCGGTGTTTAGGTTCCAGTTACTGATCTATGTCGGTGTTTAGGTTCCAGTTTATGATCTATGTCGGTGTTAATGTTCCAGTTTATGATCTATGTCGGTGTTTATGTCCAGTTTATGATCTATGTCGGTGTATAGATTCCAGTTTATGATCTTTGTCGGTGTATGGGTTCCAGTTTATGATCTATGTCGGTGTATAGGTTCCAGTTTATGATCTATGTCGGTGTATAGGTTCCAGTTTATGATCTATGTCTGTGTTTAGGTTCCAGTTTATGATCTATGTCGGTGTTTATGTCCAGTTTATGATCTATGTCGGTGTATAGGTTCCAGTTTATGATCTTTGTCTGTGTTTAGGTTCCAGTTTATGGTCGAGGAACTTGAAAGAACAAGAACGAGTTCCCACCGGGCTCTGGAGGAGCTAAGGAAACCAGTTCTACATCAAACAATATTAAAACTTAATTTAAAAACTTTTTTTGCTTCTAATTTCTTTTAAACCTTTCCAACTTTTGATTTGAATAAATTGGTTGATCAGGGAAACTAAAACTGTTGGACGTGAGCTGTATTGTCGGGTTCAGGACCTGGAGAAGGAGCAGGAGAAGCAGGATCAGGAGCTCAACATTTGGAAACAGCGCTCTCATGACCAGGAGCAGGAGGTTCACCTGCTACGGGAGAACGTGGGACATCTTGAAGGACTCAGGGACAATCTGGAGATTAATGTTTCAGAGAAATCTGATCTTCTTCATGAACTCAGGTTCAAAGTATAATTTAAACTACGAATTTGCCATTCCGAAGTTGTTAAATATAGTTTTGGTAAAACTTCCGTAATCTCTTAGTTTTGAAAATCTTAAATGTTTTAACATAAAAATCTTCTTTTTTAAAAAAGAAGAAGAAATACTTTCGGAAACTTAGCTTCAAGTAACTTTACGTATAATTTACAGAACGATTTACTAGGTTCCCTTAAGAGCTTTGTCTAATCAATTGATTTTTTTCTGTTTACGTTTACGTTGGGCCGTTGAGCCTCTGATTCTTACAAAGAATGCCTTGAGCCATATCCCTGCCGAGTATGATTTGGGTTGGGTTGGGTTGGGTTGGGTTGGGTTGGGTTGGGTTGGGTTGGATTGGGTTGAGAAGTTGAGCTGAGCTGAGCTGAGCTGAGAGGTGACTTGCGCTTTTTTGCTTATAAGAAACCATGTAGAAATTATTAGAATAAAACGCGTTTTAAGAATGACGTTATTTTCCAAATATTTTGATCAGATTTAGATTTCAAGGGTACCATTGTAAACCAGGCATTGATAGCTTTGCCTCGAGGATCACTTGAAATTACGCTTACAGTCCCTTTTATTATTAACAAAATGGAAAATGTTTTCATCAAAATATAAACAAATATAAACAAAATCTAATCTGAATATGAATTAGGGATGAAATGAACAGAATTAGAGTGGAAATGGATTCAAACAAATCTAAATTGGAGGAAGCCATTAAAAATAATCTCAGGTAAACCTTAATTCCACTTTTACCTCCTCCTTCAATGTTTTTTACCACTGACCTGTGAATATAAAAAGGAAGAAAAAAAACTAGCAAGAAATTCATTGTTGAATGTTGATTGCCGATATTCATTCTCAAAAATATTTGGTCTGTTATAGATAAGACCTTTTCAGTCAGCAAAGTAAAGTTTTTTATTATTTACCAAAAATAAGAAATAAATGGAATTCTTAAAGATAAATTTATTGCGTAGATTGAAAGGAAACCTTGAGGTGCGTCAGGAAGATTTGCGTAAACTGCGTGAGATGAATGAAGCCCGTGACGCAGAGGTTGCGCAGTTGAAGGTGCAGGAGGAGCAAATGAGGTTGAGAGAGGAGGAGCTGGTCACTATGGTGGCAGGACTAGAAGTGCAGGTTAGTTTTATTTTTTTTTATTGAGTTGTATTCAATATTCACAATAGTACCATTCCAACCCTTTTCTGAATAGGAGTTAGGTTAAAAAATTCCTTGTTTTTTTTTCCATAAAATTGGTAGTTTTCAATCATAGTATCTTCATAATGAATTGTAGATTATGCAGCTGAGACAAGGAAGGAACTTTACAGAATATGTCGCTTTTGCATAGGGTAACGACAAACTCTTCCTAGTTATTTCTCGATAAAGTATTTGATTGTACCATTGTGAATTGGTGAAATAACAATTCAATTTAACGATCATTTAAAATTCCGTTATTTGAAAAAAAGTTTTTTACCTTAAAAAATGGCATAATCCTAGTTTTATATACAGCGCACACGATTCCAAAGATATACATTTTCACACATCGAAAGACAACTGTACGAAATTAACACTGTCTCTTAATATGTTTGTTTTCCTGCAACTGTAAATTTATTAATTTCTTTTTTCCAACCAATTAAAAAGGCCATTAGAAAACTATATTCATGGCAGAGTACTTAGTTTAACCTTGGAAACGTCATATTTAAATAGTTTCAGGACGCCTCTTTATAGTCTCACTTCCGGTTTCAGGTCGTCTTTATAGTATCATTTCCGGTTTCAGGTCGTCATTATTGTATCATTTCCGGTTTCAGGTCGTCTTTATAGTCTCATTTCCGGTTTAAGTTCGTCTTTATAGTTTCATTTCCGTTTTCAGGTCGTCTTTATACTCTCATTTCCGGTTTCAGGTCGTCTTTATAGTCTCATTTCCGGTTTAGTATATTCACTTCGAGTTTGACGTGTGGGTGTAGGACATCATCCCGAACAATCTGAATTAATCTGATTTGATTTGATAGTTGCATAGTTTATTATGTAAAAGGTTGAAGAGAAGCAGATGCTGGTGAAGAACCTGACTCAGGACCGGGAGGAGAAGGAGATCATTAGAATGAAGGAGATGGAGATGTTGATGAATTTAAGGTCAGTTCTCATCATTGCGTAGGATCCGGATTTAATGGGTAAAATCTGAACTGTGCTGATTTTGAATGGTTCATCATAATATATTCCATTTTTCCCCTGCGGATCTAGGATCCAGATTCGCATCAAAATTAAATGAATCCTAAGCAAGGGCGTATACAGAAATAAATGTAGGGGGGGGCAAGATTTGCGCGAAGCGCAAAAAATTTTTTTGCCCCCCCCTAGGAGCTCCAAGGGGGGGGCAAAATTCGAACTGTAAATTCATAACACTTGGCTTCTTGGATATCAGGCATAAGTATAAGATACTTAAAAGGCACACATACAGTCCAAATAATTACCTTCTAAGCATTGTTTCTAAAAAATCGACATTTTATTATACTTTTATAGGTATATTTAGTATTTAAACTAGAGATAGTAAAAGACATTTTTGAAAATAAAAACTTAACTTAAACTTAAAATCTATGAGATGAAAAGAAGTACAAAGGTCCAGAAAATAATTATGACTTGTAAAAGTTTCTGTTGTGAAAAAAAGTAGGAGTACAGTTGCTGCAATCTAAGAATGAATGATAACTCAAGGCTTATAAATAACAGTATTTGATTCATGATAATTATTAATCAGCAATTCACAGATACCAGTCACAACGGCAACTTTTAACAGACTCACATCACTACTAAACAAGACTAGCATATAATGTAAAGTGTGTGAGCTGTACAAATGTATGCAGACTGTGTGTTCTCTGAACCCAACTAAACTCTGTGTACTCTGTGAACTTAAAAGTTAAAATTAGGTTAGGTTGGTTAGGTTAACTTGGTTACAGCATGAGCACTGCACTGTAATTATATATATTTTAAAATTTTGATTTTTTATAATAATCATGAAAAGCAAACTTATTTTTTTTTTGTGTTCTTCACTCTTCAGTTAAGATTTGAAAAGTGTGAAAGGCTTGCAGAATTCTAGGGGGGGGCTACGCCCCCCCCTTTACAAGTCTAGGGGGGGGGCACTGCCCCCCATGCCCCCCCCCTGTATACGCCCTTGATCCTAAGCACAGTTCTCAATACAGTTGGGAATTTGGAAGAAAGTCAAGACGTTGATTTAAAGATTTTTAAATTTTAATTTCAATAGTAATCTTATTTTTATGACAAATGACGCTGGAAGCGTAATTTGAAGTGGCACTATTGAAACGGTGACATTAACAATGGTGTTGATGCAAAAGATGCAATGTTTTTAAAGATGCATTTTTAAAATTGAATCGTTGATGGGAGTGCCCCGTGAAATAAAAATTCCAATGATGAATTGCTAACCTCTCCTCTAACTATATGCAATCTGATGTCCAGATGCTTTAAACTATAAATTGTCCTCGGTTCATCTAAATAGCTAAAATTAAAATATCTAAGGTATCAGTAACCAATCTAGGAAATAACATGACTTAAGAAACATATACTCAGCCAAATGTACTATTAGTCGGAATTGAATCCACAAAATTAAAAATTAATTGAAATTGACTTTGTCATGAATATCGATAATAAAAATGGTGATGAAAATGAAAATGAAAATGCTTGCCTTGACTTGACCGTTAATATGTCCAAATCAAATCAATTCGTATCGAATCATAATATATAAATAAGCATTCTTAATTGCCTAAATATCTGGTATTCACTCAGAAGTTCGCTACATAAAACAAATCTATTAGGTGGGTACCCAACATTTAGATTTAATAAAAGGAAATAATGTTTGACAATTAGCTAGTGAAGGGTATTTCAAAATGATACATGGCTCAAATACGGTCGCGCTGCTGCGATCTTTTTTTAAGAGAATCATAGTTTTACCAAAACTTCATTCCGTACAGCAAAAAGACATAAAAAAGCGCGTAAAGTTGATTGGAAATTCAAATGCAAAATACAGATCGGGCTGAAAATCCAGAGGTTGGGAGAGAATTGAAACTCTAACCCAAAAGAAGAATGCCTCAAGCCATCCCTGAAAAATATGATTTGATTTGATTTGATTTGATTTGATTTGATTTGATTTGATTTGATTTGATTTGATTTGATTTGATTTGATTTGATTTGATTTGATTTTGATTTGATTTGATTTGATTTGATTTGATTTGATTTGATTTGATTTGATTTGATTTGATTTGATTTGATTTGATTTGATTTGATTTGATTTGATAGATCTGAGGTAGAGGATCAGAAGAGTGCCTTGCAGATGATGGAGGAGGCTGCAGCCAGGGGGGAGAGTGCGCAGAGGTCAATGGAGGCTCAGCAGAGGCTGCTCTGTGAAGCTGAGGCTAAATCAGGTTGGTCTTCAGATTTTTAAAAATATTGTTCACATGGCTAAAAATTGTATCGTGTGGCAAAACCTTTATATTCAGTGAGGACTGAAAACTTCGATCTAAAAACTTGAAGATGTTGGCCCCAACATTTTTTACAATTTGATGAGAGAAAAGCAGATTTTGTTAAATTTTAGTTAATTATGATAAAATATTATTTTTAGCTGCTTCTGAGGAGGCAGTGGAGCAATGGCGTGCGAAGCTCCTTGAAGCTGAGAATATGCTTCAGCAGCTGGAAGAAAGGTTGGAGCAGCTTGAACAGGAGAATAAGCAGCTTCAAGAGATCATTGAACCGTTTAGAGATCAGCTAGAGAGCTTCGAAATAGAGAAAAATGCGCTTCTTTCACAGGTATTAGATTAAACAATTGGATAGGGGGTGAAGGGGTTATATGGTAGAATTTACCAAATTCAGAGTATCATCCGTTTTGATCGAAGAAAGGAGTAAAAGATGATTTATAATTGACAATTTTTTTTAATAGAGCGAGCAGGCCCAAGATGAGGTTAAGAAATTGGCAACTCAGTACGGTAAACTGCTGGGACACCAGAACCAGAAGCAGAAAATACAGGTTAGTGTGCACACTGTACAGTACGGTAAACTGCTGGGATACCAGAACCAGAAACAGAAAGCATAGGTTAGTGTGTACACTGTACAGTACGGTAAACTGCTGGGACACCAGAACCAGAAGCACAAAATCCAGGTTAGTGTGTACACTGTACAGTGTACAGTACGGTAAACTGCTGGGACACCAGAACCAGAAACAGAAAACACAGGTTAGTGTGTACACTGTACAGTGTACGGTAAACTGCTGGGACACCAGGACCAGAAACAGAAAGTATAGGTTAGTGTGTACACTGTACAGTACGGCAAACTACTGGGACATTATAACCAGAAACAGAAAACTTAGATCATCTGCGGAAAACTAGAGAGATCATATTTTGAATAAATGTTGATTGTTGATAATAGAGTGGTTATTGCATCTAGGCAACAAAAGTACTGATTACTCACCTCTACTTTTTATTCCCAATCCTAATTTTTGCAACAGAATTTTGCACAACTACAAAGTTTTAAGATGTATGAAGTAATCGAGGTTGAGGCAAGTTATCACTTCCATTCCTACACATTTCATTATTTTAATAATTAATATAATGCTTAATTAGTTTTATTGTAGCATGATGTGAAGATAAAACAGGAGAATGTTGAACTAATTAGTTTTATTGTAGAATGTTGAACTAATTAGTTTTATTGTAGCATGTTGTGAAGATAAAACAGGAGAATGTTGAACTGATTAATTTTATTCTAGCATGTTGTGAAGATAAAACAGGAGAATGTTGAGTTGAAAACTGAAATATCCCATCTGAAGGAAACTATTGCAAAGTAAGGAATTTAATATGATTATTGCCGTAAATTAAACTCTCTACTTCTATTAGAGTTATGTAAATATTCTTCTTCTTAACTTGTGAAATAAATAATTCAAAATACAGTTTATTAAGATTGTATCAAAAATATTTTTTTAACCGCAAGGAAAATTGTCTGTATAGGCTTCTAACCAGAAAAAAAATAACATTTGTAATAGAAAATTTTAGAAAATTAACTGGGATAAAGTGACAAAAAAACTATAAGCTTTAATTTATTAATTTTATTCATTCAAATATGCTTTTGGTCGCAATTGTAGATTTTTTTTTTTTAAATAATCATCTCACTTTTGAATGAAGAGATATCACCAACATTTTGTGAATTAAAAATAGTTTTTTTTTTATCCTCAGGTTTCAAGGACTAATTTTGTTAACATTGAGTTGAAACTTCTTCTTTGCAAAGTTTCAAATTTAATAAAAAATGCTGCACTTTTTTATTTTTCCGACTTTGAACCTTTAAATTGATTTCATTTTAAATAAAAGTCTTAAGATTGAAAAAAGAGAGGTGCGGAGATGCCTTTTATTTTGCTTAACATCGTTTATTTCAACCTCTAATTTTCTCAAAAATATTTTCAGAAATAAGAAAACGATCAGTAGACTTGAAGACAAATTGAACGAAGGAGTTCGAAGGTTCGATCCACGGCTCTCCTTTCAGACTCCCTCCAGGGGGGGCAAGGAGAACTTGATGACCCCCTCTAAGGAGGGTCTACCAATGACCCCCATGGGACCTCCCAAAGATCTTTTTAATAAAAGTAGAAACAGCTCTTCAAGGTTAAACTTTTTTAAATCTTTATTTTTTTATTATTTTTTATTCTCATTTTTATTCTCATTTTTATTCTCATTTTTATTCTTGTTCACTGTAAATCTGGATGCCGAATTTTAAGAATTTAAACTGCGTCATGGTTGTTTTCACTTAAAAGTGTTACGATATTTGAGCTGGCGCTCAATTTGAACCAATTTTTGGTGGATCAGCGACGCTGTATGAATTTTTAAAATTCGGCCTTGGGTTTAATTAATGATGTTATTAAATTATTAAAATTTAAAGGATATAATTGGTCTAAGATATTATACCCTTACCTACAGAGTGTAAGGCTGTTAAAGACTCGTTTACTCATTCTATAAATATCACTTTCTTAAAATAAATGATAATTGTTAAGTTGTTGCAGAAACTTTTCGTCTAGTTAGTAGTTAAAGGGTCTGTAAGCGTAATTTCAAGTGACCCTCCATGCAAAGATGGCAAGTAGTAATAAGATATCAATTTTTATAATATTGAAAACTTAGAATTTGCTGTTGTGGCCGACCACTTTCTGGAAATGCCAGGACTAGGAGAACTTTGTAGTTATTGGTTTAAGAATGTTAAAGTAGGTGTCGACTAAATGTCAAAAATAAATTCCAATATCAATGACGACTTTGCTACTGTCATGTTTCGTGTGTTACTGTCACTTAAATTACGCTTACAGTCCCTTTAAACAAATCTTTTTTCTTTAGATCCTCGACAAGTTCACCTTTAAAGAGCAAGAATTGAAGAACATCTATTATCCCGTAATTATGTACAAATTTATGATTATGTACCCCGTGTACACTGTACAGCAATGTTTACTTCTACTAGTTGTATACTGAAGTGTATATACATGAACCCAGTTGTCGAAACATCAATTATTATTATGTTCTCTAAAATTAGAAAGAACTTTACTAGTTTTATATATTTTCGTGAAATCTCCATGTAAGCCAATAGTTCTTATTTTTGATATTATTTTTTTCTTCAACTCATCTTATCCATTCATTTCTGATAAATAAGACTTCGAAAATATTTTTAAACGCATATGTACAAAACTTGCTTCAGCATAGTTGCATATCATGTATTGTAAATTATATTGAATAAAAACGTAACTTAATAATCTTTAAATCAAAATCAGTTAAGAAAGAGTTGACACTAGAGAAAGGTTGGATTTGTGACTGAATTTAAGAGAGGTGGCTGAACTTCTTACAATCGTTTCAAATCCTAATGAATCTTAAACTTTGAATCGGTGATTCAGGATTTGAACCGGCGGTATGTAGCTCGGTGTCCTGGCATTGTTGACCTTTTTATTTCAACATTTTAAAGATGCTATTTTAAGTTTATATTATATGGATTTTTAAGTACATTTTTGTAACTTTTTACATGCAAATTATTTTTACCAAGGGTACATATTTCTTCTGGTTTATCAACAATCAAAGTTTGAAATATTTAAGTTTTACATAATTCGGTTGTAGATATATATCTATTAGAAAATTGGGATTTATTGTAAAGATTCAATTTTTTTCCAAGAATGTCGGGTATGATTTGATATTTTTTACTTGTTTTACTAGTATTTTTATAAATATTAAGCTGTCCCTTTTAGGAATCGAGACACATTCAAATAAAATCATTTTTACATGATGGTTTTGGAATTTAATTTAGCGAGAAAATTGGGTGAATTAAAACCATTTAAAAATATTGTTTTCTATTTTCAAACATTAAAAAAATGAATATTCTTTATTGTAGAAATGTTTATTTTATGGCCTGGATCCGTATCGATTGTATTATCTGTTGCGCAATTTTAGAGAATTGCTATCTAATCCCGATAATAAATAAATGACAGGGTTAAGTAACGTAAATCTTTATTAATAAATACAATCTTCTTAGAAAGGGTTCCGTTCAGTTCACAGATTGATAACAGCACAGCGGTTTCAAAAACTAAATAAACCTAATGTTAGTGTATATAGCAAATTTGAGCAATAACTTTGCTATATTAGCAATGTTGGCAGTTAAGCAATACATGCTTAACCCAACGCAAGGTTAGACTCGCGTATTAGTAATGATGGCTAACCTAAGATTAGACTTCACCTATTGTTTATCAATAAAAGCAATAAATGTGCTTTTCGCTTAGCTTATAAGCAATTTAAGTGAAAAGTATCTCTTTAGGACTTTGTAGACTATTTGTATCCAGTCTAAATAAATGTTAGGGAATTCTAATTCATGACAATCACCCTATTATCCCATGAACTATCAGTCATGAACCTAATTGCTATTAAATACCAATAATTCTAATTCATGACAATCACCCTATTATCCCATGAACTATCAGTCATGGACTTAATTGCTATTAAATAGCAATAATTGTGTGTTATCCAATTACACACTAAATCAGCAATTAAACTCAGTTTATGGCAATAAGTTTGCTTTTACTTTATTGGAGCAATAATCTTGCCCAATAAAACGGTTAATAGGAACTAGTCCCAACTGAGCAATTTAACTCTATTTTGCTTCTAGCCGGCTTCGTTGAAGCCAAATCGCACGATTAATAAATCCTGCCAGGTGGATTTAAGGCTAGATTATCTACCCTAGTGTTTCATTAGAGGTGTAAATCGTGCTATTAACTTTAATGCCACGATGTCTTAATAGCACGATATGTAAATCCACCCGCACGGGTGGATTAACGCTGGTTTATCTACCCTATATCCTACGATTAGTTTGGTTTGGTTGCGAGGTTTCGTGAATTAAAAGAAAGTTGTTTTTCGCTCTTGCCGCGTCTACAATTTTAAACAAAAACAAAAACAAATAATTATTTTGTGATTCCGAGCTTTTTTATTTAATTGAAAGAATCGTATGGCCAGACCAGCAAACCAAAAATCTACAAAGAATTATAAGGGAGCTGGATGGTGGAAATCTAAAGAAACTGCTGGATCAGCCGACGCATGGCCAGGTAAATTTTTTCTCCATAAAAAACAGTATTTGGATATTACACCAATGTCTTGAATACTATATTTGTTAAATTAAAGTGTTAAACCTCCGTGGCACCTATAAATAACACAACTTTTTAAATTAAAATATAAATCTTTTCATTTTAAGTAAATACAGGGTGTTCTCCAATTCCCATGTTTTTAGGACACCCTGTATAATCCGTGGTAACCAAACCTAACTAAATCCATTTTTTTTTTTAGACAAGACAGACTTTAATTCTTAATGCCTACTGGAGCTGGGTATACTATGAGTTCAGTACTCTCTCCATCCCAGCTGGATTTCACGTTTCATTGAAAAAAATGAAAAACAAGCACAAGAAGTAAGTTACATTTAAAATTAAATATTTGTTATTCTTGCTCATGTGATTTTTCAGGATATTTTATTTATTCAAATGAAAACAAGCATATTTCAAAAACACATGATTGGCATGTGTGTTTATTTTTGTATTGTTTAGTTTGTCTACTACTCCTGGAGTTTCGAAATATAGAGACCAAATCTCCCAGGAGAACATAGAAGAGATTATTCGGACGGACAGAAGGGCGGGAAATCTGGTGAATAAACTTCGAAATGTTACTGGGGGAGGAAGAGAGGTGGAATGTGTGCCTCCGCTGGATGCGGAAATATTTAGGTAAACAAATTGACTATCTTCAATCTTAATGAAGCAATTTCTATGCCCAGTTTTAAAATCTATTTGTTTTCAATTTTGTAAATCACAGTACAGTGAGACCCACAAAAGCGTGGAATAGGAAAACGACAATTAAGCAATCTTATGTATTATAAGCAAAATAAGACTAGATAATCATGTACAGAGAGTGACATGTGTTTTTTTTAGAGATGAGGAGAATATTAGAAACAGGTTTGGACCGATCGACATCGGGTATTCTACCTTCTCATCAACTCAGCTAAGCCAGGAGGAGGAGGAGGAGGTGGAGTCACAGGATTTATTGGCAACGGCAATTTCTCAAGGAATTAATTTTTTCTACTATATTAGGAAAATACATAGATAACAAGAAAACTGTAGCATAGGATGACGACATTAAAGCAATACTGAATTTAAAATTATAGCTTTTAACTTATATTAAATAAAAAAAATAGTGTATTAGGCACATATGTAAAAAATTAATTTCAACAGAGATGCCGTTCTTGAATCAGAAGGTGGAAATCTCCATACCCTCCCCCCCAGTGAACTATTATGCCAATTATGGAATTGGTATCGCAACTAATTCTGGGCAGGCAACAGCCACAGTAAGTTCGTCTGCTATTGATCGAGCGTGTGCTCTGACCAGAGCTTGCTTTCCTGCAAGATATCTAGGAGATGAGATAGCTCAAACTCAAGCTCCAGCTCCAGCTCCAGCTCCACCTCGAGCTGCACCTCAAGCTCCAGCTCCAGCTCGGGGTAGGGCTCGAGTGCCAGCTCCGGCGGTAGGTCCTCTTCAGGAAGCCATAGACAGAGTGGCCAATCGTATTGGAAACAATGCTGCTCTGGAGGAAGCACAGATAGCTTTAATCCAAGCTCAAACTAGAACTGCTCAAGCACAGGAGGACAAATTTCGTCAGGATGCCAGGCTGGCAGAAATAAAGACAAGAAGGGAGGAGGAGCTGATACATCAAGAAGCCGAATTTCATGCTAAAAGAATGAAACTTTTTGATAATTACTCTGATGTCCTTAAGGTTAACTTAATAGAATTTAAAATTTTTTTTTCTTGGGTGTTCTAATGCTTGATATCTCTTTTAATTTCTGCCCCCCCCCCACACACCTTTTCCTTTTGGAGATCTTTTTTTTCCCAGAAGTAATGTATAATTTTATTCTTAAACCTATGAACCTTAATCTTATCAATAATGGGGACAATACACGGTGAGTAAAAAAAAATGTGATTTGTGGCGCCTGGTGCAAAATTTTACCTTTTTTTGTGTAACTCTCCTGGTTGGTGTTTTTTCACTATTTTTTAAATGGGGTGATTAAAGTACCAAAAAAAATTACATATTTTCAAAAAATATTGAAAAAACACAAACCAGGAGAGTTGCACAAAAAAGGTACANACAGGGTGTCCCAATAAACATGGGAATTAAGAGACGACTTGAAAGTCCTCTTAAAAGTCGTCACTCCTCAATTCCCATGTTATTGTACGTTCTTGTCATTAAAATGAGTTAACGTTAAGGACAAATCGGACAAGCGGCCAATTAATTTACCAAATATGTAAATTAATGTAAATTTTTTTGTTTAAACTGCGAATTAAAAAGAAAAAATCAAAAAAAAATGTAAATAGATGTATATTTTTTTGAAACTGCAAATTAAAAAGAAAAAATCCAAAAAAAAATATATGTATTTAAATACTTTTTTCAAACATACGGTCGTTGTTAACAGATTTGATTAAAGCAAAAAAAAAATAGTTAAATATTCAACTTTTTAAAAATTGTTTTCTTTACATTTGAGATTTCACTATAAATCATACAACTTTTGGAACAAATGCATTTTTATACATTTATTTTTGACATCGTGCATTATAAACTTTTGTAAAAATGGTTCTATCTTTTAAACATTAGAGAATATCGTTGTATTATTTTTGTATTAAATATTTGCCAAACTGAGAAATGTGAATAAAGTATTTAATTATTTCATCCTTATTTTTTGTTCGTGTTTAGTTTTTGAAAACAAAATTGCCGATCATGAAAATTTGAGCCATTTTGAAGAAAAAAAATTGAGCATGACATTTTATTAGCTCAAAAATTAATGGCAAACTCTGTTGTCCTTTCACTGTTATCTCACACTCTCATTAAAATTGAACAACAAATTGACAGCATGGGGAAACGATGTGACAAAAAGGTCACACGAAAAACCCCACCTTTATTATAAACATAATTATCTCAGACAAGAATTTATCGTCGGGCACGTCTTCAAATCTCGGCTTGAACACGATGGTTGGCCATCTTAACGAGCTCCTTCCTAGTTGGAGTATTATCCATTGATAATCTCCAATTATCTCTGGCGGCCATTCCCTGCTCGCGCCTCTGCCTGGGGTTCAGCTGGTTCACCAAGTGAACCTGTCCAGCAGGGATTTCATCGTAGTCCTGATGATAATCTTCCTCCTCAACTTCTTCATGATAGTTGGGATGATTATTTTGTGGAACCTCATCTCGGTAATCCTGTGCTATATTGTGAAGAACTACACATGCCTGAACAATTCTTATGGAGTTTAAGAGGTGGGATCTGATAAATTTAGTTATGGGAAACCTCCTCTTTAACATCCCATAGATGTTCTCCGTCATCTCAACCCGTGCTTGAGAATGCCTGACATTGAACAGACATTTGTTGTCGTCGGCCCTAAATTAAAACGGTGTTTTAAGAATGTACAAAATGGTCAAAACATACAGAGTAACCCTATATCATGTTTAATAACCTAATTTTTATTTAAAGAAAAAATTTGTGAATTATGTTTCAAATATTTTTATTATACCTGGACTAATCCTCCGAGTAAGGGGTCATCATAACCTCTGTTTGAGGATAGGCGCTTTCGCCGAGAAAAAACCGTTGGGGAAATCTAGTCTCCAACCAACCTTTTCCCTGCGACATGCTACAGACTGCCGCATCATGAAAAGATCCAGGGGCAGTTAGAAGGATGTCATAGATCCTCCTGTCGAATCCTCCAATGATTTGTGCATTGATGCTGTAGAGTCCTTTGCGATTCAGAAATCTTTAGCATCTTTGCCCTCAGGGATTCCTCGAGGTTTCTCCAGGAAAGGGATGTGGCAACCATCCACACCTCCAATTACGTTGTTTAACTTGTACTTTTTGAATACTTCTGAGATGTGTATGGTAAAGGTACCTATCCACACCTCCAATTACGTTGTTTAACTTGTACTTTTTGAATACTTCTGAGATGTTTTCTCTCTGTTGTTCTGAAGATGGCATGCACAGAAACCTTCTCCTCACCTCATCTGTTAGGAGAGCATTAACGAACCTGGCAACAATTATGAAATCAAAACAAAAATTTAATTGGGAAGAAATACCAAAATAGAATTTGTTGTAAGCTATTTAATTTATTTGGAAAATTTTAACTTAATCCATCGAAAACTATATTTACCTCTTCATATTCTTCCAGGCTGTACTTAGGGCGGTACCACAGGTGTACCCACCAACCCAATAAAAATGGCCCCCGGCCATCATTTCCAAAGCTGAACAAACAATCAGCTCGGCAGAAATAGGCAGTCCACGATTTGAATCACCAAGGTCAAGGAAGGGTTTGACCAGCTCAACAACCTTATGAAGGTTCGGCCTGTCGAACCGAAACCTAAAAAAAGAGTTCAATAATTGTATAGTAAGAACCAGATAACTGTAAAAAATGATAAAGACTATTTTAAGACATAACTTTCACTACAAGTAGTCTTCCTATTGAAGAGTTTTCTGGTTATGACTGTATTATATGAAAATTGAAAGATAGTCGAGTTGTAAAAATGCAAAAAATTAAATTTAGTCAATATTGAAAATAGGAAATTTTGATGTTCATAATTTTGTTGTACTTGCCTTGCCTTAAACTCCCTCTCATTCTGAATATCTGTAAAAGGATCCAGCCTGTTCCTTCTCCTAAACATTAACAGTTAATTAATAACTCTAAATAAAGAGAATTTAAAGAAGAGATGAAAATTTCAACAAATTTTAAACTATTAGTGTCACTTACCAGATAGGAGCTCTTCTTGGCTGGTTTACTAAATCTTGAACATCCTGAAGATCTTGAAGATCTTGAAGATCTCTTAAATTTTGTAGTTCTTGCAGATCTTGTCTTCGCTGCTCTGCAATAGCAGCAATTATATCCATGCTAATTTCTGAAAATTAAAATGTACTTTCTCAAAATAATAACTGCAATTATAATTATATAATTATAATGATTGTGAAGCGGAAAATAAATAATTTTTACTTATGATATTACTTATTTAATTCCTTATCATTAAATGGAAATTTAAAGTTAACGAAGGTCGTCTTTGATTTGCAAAACAAATCTGTGGAAACCATTGCGCATGTGCTAAAACTAACAGTACGGATGAAAAAGGCTAGATAATCGCAGGATTTAACGGATGACTAATGAAAGCATCAGCTGTTTCAGGGTAGATTTAGGGTAGAAATCCAGCCTCCATTTAGGGTGGATTCATGACTGATGAAACAGTACTTCCGAAATCGTGCGACAAGTCTAAAACGTAGGATAAACCTACGATTTATTAATCGTAGGTTTATCCTACGATTAAGATACTTGTCAGACGAAGTGGCCTTCTATTAAAGCAATCGGTTGCATTAAATGCATTACTTAGCAGAGAATAAAAGGTTTATCCTTACTTGTTTCGCTGATCGGGGTTGAACAGAGCTAGGGTAGATCCAGCAGGGTCTTGAGCAATAAGTTTGCTTAAGGAGAGCAATAAGTTTGCTTGAGGATACTGCTGAACCGATATAAACCACAATGAACAACAACACACGTGCACGCTTGCTAAATTAAAAGTATATAAAGTGCAAGAACAAAAAGATAAAATATAACCCAATATGCACTGCTCAAATAAGAATTTAGTTTAATAAGAATATTGAAAAAAGTTAAAAGAAACAAGAAAATCTTCCAAATTTAAAAGTTTTAGAACGGATCAAAAAACGACGCTTTTGGCATCAATGGGTTAATAACTATTTCACTGTTTAAAAAGATTTCACTTGTAAATAAAGCCGTAAATACGAGCCTTTAATATAAAATTCTACCTCAGATCCGCCGATTTCACAAACTAAATCCAACTAAAAAATGAAAGAAATCCAAATTATTAATTAAAATATATTAACAATTCTAACCAATTTGACTCTATGTGGAAAAATTTGCTCAATCTTTCTAACCTGGTAGTGAGACCAGATGGCCAAGAGTACTGCACAGAATTTAGTGCAAACTGGTTTAAAGTTGTAAACAAACAGTAAATAAACAAACAGAATATGTAAAAAATATTGAGAATATTATTATTCAGAACCAAATCACGAATTTAATCAAGCTATTTATGGGATTGCTCTAAACTTACAAAATTCGCTAAGGGACTGTTATCAATTTACAAAACCGCGTTCCAACAACATTTAACAAATTATTGAGAACCATTAAATAAATTACACAACATTATCCAGGGTTCGCATTAATGACATGGATCCTAAGCACTGAATAAAATGAAATGTATCCTAAGCACTGAATAAAATGAAATGTATCCTAAGCACTGAATAGAATGAAATGGATCCTAAGCACTGAATAGAATGAAATGGATCCTAAGTACTGAATAAAATGAAATGGATCCAAGACACACTGAATAAAACCATGACACACTAAGTTAAAATATATATTTAGTATAAAAAAGACAATTTTAAAATTTGATTTAGTTAATCACAGAATACAACTTATAAGACAAATATAAATTTGTACTTAAAAAATATTTTTATGAAAGATAATGAAATTATTTAATATGATATATAATTACATGACAAAAACTTAGATTTTCAACGGTAAAATTTGGCATAAATAAATATGCTGTAGCGCATAACTTCTAAATATTTTATCTTGATTTTATTTCAATATTGACGAAAATGGATTTAACCTATTGGGTTTTCCGCGAAGATAATTTTATTTAATTTAATCATTCATTTTCTCAGGGTTTACAGATACTTTTAAGAATGGCAGATTACAGATTTTCACGTGCTTGATTTTTTTCCCTTCATTTTTTAGAAGTGACTTCAGTAATTTTAATATTTGAATTCTTTCGAAATTTGTAGGTTTATAAATATCAGTTAAAACTAAGAAATGTAACAGAAAAATTATGTTTTCGATGATTTGATAACTTTACTCACTATACCTTCCCGCTAATCGGAATAACTCTTATACTTTTTTTTTACTTTTAGTTCAAAATTTAAACACTGAACAGTGAACAAACTTTTATAATGACAAAACATATATTATAACTATAAAGCATGAAGTGTTGCAACTAAAACGCCGTACATTTTATTTATGTTTTTTTAGATTAAACTATTCATCATATATTTGGTGAATTAATTGTTATTGTTACTTAAGAATTATTTCATTTAAAGGAGCAGGGGAGGAAGGCTAACCACAGCGATTTCTAGCTACATTCTCCTCATTTTCTCGCGAATTTTAAAACTTGTGGAATCATCTGCTCGGAGAGTTCAGCATTTTATTATTCCATAATTAATAATTTCTTCACTTTAATTTAATTAATGTATTGTTTGACTTAGAGAATTTGATCTATCTTACTGTCCGTCCATGTACGTTCACCCAAATCCAGCAAACCAATTCCAACAAAGAATCTTTTAAAAATAGACCAATCAATTTTTCGCGAAATTTTCGCGTTTCTTATTTCTGTAAATGTTAGCGTTTTTCGCGAAACAGATCATAGCGAAATTTCACGAAAAAATGTAAAATTTACGGAAAAAATCTTTTTTTCTTTTGCAAAAAGATTTCCCGTTTCCACTGGAAACCCCAATATAAGAACCTTATAAAATGGATTCAGAAATTCAGTCCTTAACCGTGGCATTTCTAGAAAGAGTCACGTGGATTTTTACGGAACACGTGGCAGGAAATATTTTTTGAGTCATTTTTAAGAAAAATAGCTAAGGAGGACATTTTAAAGATCTCTTAGAATGATGATCGTTTAATCTGTAGTTTGGTGTAGTTACTGATGCTCATAGTCTCATGATCATAGTAATGGCTGCCGGAGTCACTGACCTCCTCAACCAAACCAAACCTCTTCATTAATCTCCGGAGTAAGCTGATGTTTCCCTCAGTGCTTGAAACTTTCTTCATCTGCTGCTTCGGCATACTGATCAAATAATTACAATATTAGAAAGAATTTAAATATTGACCTACAATAGTACAGGGTGTCCCACGAAACATGACAGTTGGTGAATAGCTTAAAATGTCTTTATTTATTATTTGTGCAGTTGTTTGATACCAAAGATCACTGAAAATATTATATGGGAGTCATGTTATATTAAAATTGATTTCAAAGTAAAGTATAGGCAAAGATTTGTTTAACTAAAAATAACTATTTCTTAAATGTCATGTTTCGTGGGACACCCTGTACATAAAATATAGCACAAGAAGTTCAGGGTGTCCCACGAAACATGACAGTTGATAAATAGTTAAGAATGTCTTCTTCCATAATTTGTTAAGTTGTTTAATACCAAAGACAATGATAAAAATAATACATGGAAGTCATATTATAGGAAAATTAACTTCAAGTAAAATATATTTAAGCAAAAGATTTTTAAACGAAATAAACTGCAAACGGCCTTTAATATCTAAAACAGTTTATGGAAGACGACATTCAAAACTATTTAGCAACTGTCATGTTTCGTGGGACACCCTGTACCTAAAAAAGTTTTAAATATAGAAAATTTTATTGCGGTTTTGGCCAAACTGCACAGTTTTAGGGGCAACAAAATTTTCTGGAAATTTTTTTGTATACCTGCCAAATGTGCTTAAAATCTCAAACATTTAATTTATTTTTTCTGCTCAAATGGCTAATATTTCGCTAGTAAATTGCGCAAGTTTTTTGCACACTTTTTGGCGCACCTTGATAGTTTGAATATTTGTGTTGTTTTTTTTTCAACGAAATTTTGAAACATTGAGAACCAGAATATAGTGAAATAGTAAGACGACATTAAAGTAAACATTATAAGTGCAGTATTTGTTACAAAAAAAATAGTTTTACTAGGCGCTTATAAAATCTCTAAACAAGTGAAATGAGTTTTTATACACTGCGCAATTGCTGTGTCTCATACTCAATAGACCACTGAAAGATATAACTTGATTCTCAAAGTTGTATTCCTATTTCAGAGTTTTGTGGTGCTCACTGTACATAATTACAAATCCATGTTTAAAAAGATTAATAGTAATGCAATTAATAAGAATAAATGTATTTATAGATTCTTGCTTTAACTCCACATTTGTTTAAGTATTAGGAAATCAAATAAATCACTTCAATTAACTTCAATTAATGATGTGGATACGCTAAAAATGTTAATTATACATGGACGTTGTGTTGTGTGCTGTAACCCTAGTTTTGGAATTTTAATATCATTTTAATTCAGTTGGCACAAATCTGATTCTGGTTGGAATAATCAAAACTCTTGAAGTTTGAACGAAATTCTTTATATCTCTCGAAATGGTGGGATTAGTGATATTTTGTAGTCATTAACTCAAAAATTCTACTCTTAAAAATAGATTTACACATGAGTGGCTCAAATTATTACAAAGGTCAAAGACGACCTTCATATCTTCTCTTAATTTTTATTTATTTTACCTGTAACATGTGCAACTGCAAACGGACATGTCGTCTTTCTCAAGTTTGAATAAATCAGCTGATCCGTCATAGGTATGGTTAGGTAAAATTTCCTAAAATACGATTTAATTAAAAAATTGTTTATTTCATATTCTATAGACCTGGTATATGGAAATCTTTAAAGGATATCATTCATGCATTATAATTTTAAACTATCTTTTTCTGTTTTTCTAAATATTCAGAAAACTTTAAAATCTTTTTAATTAAAATAACAATTTAGAATTGATTCCTTCTTTTATAAACTTTTTAAATCTCAAATTTGTAAATTTCGCTTTACAGTTTTAAGAGCGAATTATATGGTGTTAGCCAGAAAACTCTGGAAAAGGGATGTGACTTATAGACTCAAATACTAGCTAGTCCAATGAACATTAGACACAGCAATTATTATCTAGTTAACTTATGTGCTTTGTAACACCATCGTTTACTCTTAAGGGTTGGTATACGGCACTTATTCAGTGTTTTCTGGTTCTCAAAATAATAAAAAAATACCACATCATCGAAAGTATCAACGTTAGCTGCTACGTCTTGCATTTCATCTTCTCCCTGCTGCTCTTCTTCCAGGGATATTGTCATAAACTTTAACACTGAGAAAACAACACTTGAAACATACTAAGCTGAAAAGCAAGAATGAGACTTCAATGATGACCTGAAAGGGTCTGTAAGCGTAATTTAGATTGATCCTTCATGCCAACGTAATAAGGCAAGGAAAGTTAATTGCTGTTGCGTATTTACTGCGTTCATATTGAAACCAGTTCTTTCATTACATATTTCATTGATTTTTTTTGTGAAAATGGATCCGTCTTTTGTTCACTTAACCGCTGGTCCAGAGACAGTCACTGCAGTACGAAAAATGCGTACACCTCTGAAAAACTATATTTTCATTATAATTCTTTGCTTCTTGCAACGGTGGCAATGCCTGATTCCCGACGGTAACCATAAAAGCTTAGTCTGCAGAGTATAAGATATATCAATGTTCATAATTTTGAAAACTTATTTTAAATTGGTGTTTTTCTAGACTAAAGAAAACAGATAGGAATTATCAGAATCAACTACTTTTAAGCATAGAAAATCGACAGTATCTTCCCCATCATTGAGCAGATAAAGATTTCGTCAACAATACATATAGATCATATCATTAGATTTTGTTCTGACATTTCATGAAATATGATTTTAAGAGTGTTTTCCTAGAAGATTTACTGATGATGCTACGGAACTAAGTCCCCAAAGGAGGAAGGAGAAACTGAAAAATGTTATTCTTATATTCTTAATTTTAGAATCGAATGAATTTGAAATAAAAATTATGTCTTTTTCTTTTATTATTTTATTTTGACATGTGGGGTTGTGATACTCCTAATTTCTTTGAAGAATTAAGATTTTACCTTCATTTCTAGGATTTTTATCTCTTTGTTTTTTTCCCCTCAAATAATTTACAACATTAAGATATTTTTGATATTTTTTGGTTTAATGTAAAATGCCAAAGTTGATCAAAATCTGTTGTTTTTTTATTATATTTTTTTGGTTTTAAGCACAAATTTTGCATTTTATTTTTGACAAAATCTTGAATGTCTTAAAATTGACCTGCAGATGACATATCCTGGTCTCATCTCTAAAGATTTATTCTGTTGTAGCGCTACAAAATCTCCAAACCCAATTGTAGTCAGAGTGATGTAGCAGTAATAGAAACTGTCAAAGTAGCTCCAACCCTCCTACAAAATCAAATTTATCTAAAATGCTTCTGATGTCGCTGAAATTTTACAATCTCCATTCCCAATACCACAATGTACTTTAATGAATAGTAAATATCTACATTATATATTCAAATCATGTGTTGAATAATTATTTTCTTATCTTATCTGTGTATATTAAGGGTAAAGGTATCTGTGTATGGTAAAGGTACCTGTGTATGGTAAAGGTACCTGTGTATGGTAAAGGTATGCTCCACAAATGATTGAAACTAAAGACATGGCTGAGCTTGCCAAGATAAGATCTGTCTCACTTGCTTCTGTTTGCTGGCAGCCCAGCCAGGTCCGTAACCTCCTAAAAACACAAATTTAATTTTTTTAAATATTAAAAAATCCGATTTAGTACTATCAGCATTTTTCGGACGTTTCCTATGCGAATTTATCATAGGCAAAATAGCCATGTTCCATCTAAGACCCATGCGCATACTTTTGTATTGACCTAAATAAAATCTTTACAAATTTGAACTTTCAAGAAAGTTTTGCTTTAACATTTTTTAAAACAATTTTTTACCTTATAAGGACACTACTAGCTTTGTTCATTCTTTCTCCTATACTCTAAATAAATATTTTTGAAATAATTGTAATAATAATAATAATAATGATAATAATAATAATCATAATAATAATAATAATAATAATAATAATAATAATAGTAATAATAATATCAATAAACATAACAATAATAATATACCTGGAACATAATCATTGCTATGGGTATACCAAGGCAAGCATATGAGATGGTAAATACCTTCCCAAGTTTAGTAGCAGGGGTAGAGTGTCCATAACCTAAAAAATTAAAAATTATTTGATTTTTAAATAATCGCATGAAATTAGACATTTCATAGACAGGACATTGCGTTGATGACATTTCGATTGTATAGACATTTTAAACATTTTAATAGTCAAGACATTTCTTTGTGAGAACATTTTATAGATAGGACGTTTCATATACAGGACATTTCATAGACAGAAATTGTCATAGGCAGGACATTTGTTTGACAAGATATTTTATGAAAAGGACATTTCATAGACTAAGCAAGTTTTTCATAAATTACAGTTCTTCATAAAGTTGAATCTGTTATTTTTATGATATCAGATTCCTCCCTGTCTGTGATTTATCATTTCCTTATAATGTCTAATAATGAAACGTCAGATCTATGAAATGTCTCATCTATGAATTAATGTCCATCTATGAAATGTCTCATCTATGAATTAATGTCCATCTATGAAATATCTCATCTATGAATTAATGTCCATCTATGAAATATCTCATCTATGAATTAATGTCTATCTATGAAATGTCTCATCTATGAATTAATGTCCATCTATGAAATGTCTCATCTATGAATTAATGTCCATCTTTGAAATGTCTCATCTATGAATTAATGTCCATCTATGAAATGTCCAATCTATGAATTAATGTCCATCTATGAAATGTCCAATCTATGAATTAATGTTCATCTATGAAATTTCTGTCTATGAATGATCCTAATAATGTATTAGTCTGAATGAAACGATTTGTTAGATGGGAATACATTATTAAATTAATTTAGCAAATACGTTATAAGAAATCAATGGAATCAAAGTAAAATACCAGCTCATATATTTTATAAATAAATAAAAGTTATAAATATAAAAGATAATTTACCATAAAAGCTCAAATATTATTTTTGTATCATATTTTCCATCCAAAAAAAATGAATGAGGTAGTTGTGTAAATATACAATTTCCTTTGATTAGGAAATGGTGGTGTGGATAGGTTTGGGCAAAATTCCGTTAACCAAACGGAAAATTTCTAACGAACGGAAGAGTTCGGTAACGGAAGGAAAAAACCGTTAATTTCTAGATCGTTATCTAAGGAAAATAGTCATTCTTGAAAAAAAGTTGAAGAACAATTTAAATTTACAACGATTTTTTTTCTTTTTTATTTATTTTGATTTTTTAAATGTTTTTTGATAATATGTTAAAAATTAATAGAAATTTATAAATTTTTTAACGTGTTTGAATTTTATCTTTAAAATTTGTCCAGCTAACGATAACATATCTTTTGTTAAGACGTGATGTAAACTAACAGTACCTTTTAAACATAACGAAAGATATCGTTATAAATACGAATGTTCCGTTTTTAGCTATGTAACAAACGGATATACCTGAATTTTTATTGACGGTTTTAACTAACCCTGATCGAAACAGATAAGAACGCGCCCAGCACTAGGTGTGGGTGGTTGGTGAAAAATACAATAATATGATAGATAATAGATAAAGAAGGGCCTTAAATATATCATAGATGAATACTGGATTCATAGGCAGGTCATTGTTATTAAATAGAGTACAACATATTAGGTTAACAGAAAGATTATCGATTAGATAAAGTACGAAAGGTTCAGAAAGATCAGATATATATCTAAGTGTAACCCATTATTTACAAATGGTTCTGGGTATTTTAGGTCATTATCATCCAAAATAAAAATGAAATTTTACCACAAACAGGCCCAGAAAAGACGACATTTATGCGATCTTATGTTATTATTATAATAGCTGTCTTAAGTTACGAGAGCTAAAACGTTAGAATGGGATATCCTTAATCCCGATCTGTTAATTAATCTGGAGATTAATAACAAGAGGAGAACTTAACAAGCAATATTTAATTTGGAGATTAAGAAAAAGATCAAGATCAAGCATTGATCTCAATATCCACTATTCTAAAGTTTTCAGCTCAGGACTGTAAAATATGGGGACAGACCGGCTATGTAAGGTAGTTGAACCGAGTATGCAGTGTTGTGGACAAATTCTTTATGATTCATTTGAAACATATAAAACTTCTTAAATATCTGTAAATCCTGAGTTTGAGCGCAAAGTCGACGTTCAAAATCAATACGTTTTCAGAATTTTTTTTAATTATTAAATAACGACGACAAAAAATGTAAACAAAATTCTACAGTAAACTAATTAGTTGTTTAGGAACAGGTTGAGAAAATAAAAATTAACTGTTATCATCGAAAATAATTAATCTTATTCAATTATTAGATTCTGTAATCTCTCAATTATTCACAAAGATTTTCTGGAATTTTATTGAAATGACGACATTTGAAGAATTTGTAGAAATCTGCGAGTAAATTCAAAGAAAATAAGAAATTCAATATAATGATGAAAACGAAATAATTGATTCGAGCACATGATTTATTGACAAATTTCTTTTGAGAAATATGTTCCTAACCATCTAATTAGTTTACTGTATAACTTTAATTTATTTTTCGTCGTTATTTAATAATTAAAAAAAGTTGATATTTTTACTAGTAACTTATTAAATCATTTATCAAGTGAAATTTGCACTGAACAATTGCTGTGTCTCATGTTAATTGGACTATTTAAAGTCTTATCCCAGAGTTTTCTGGTTCTCACTGTATGCTAACTGGATGACTGTGATTATTACCTATAAGTGCGAGTACAACTAGAGAGAAATAGAATGAACCGGCAAACTTCCATTGAGGTCCAGACTTGTGGGATTTCCTCTCTTCGATCAAAACCTAAAAATAAATATTTATTTGTAACTTTTTGAAGTACTGCAGGCCGACCTCTGGTCAAATACTGCAGTTTCATCACACGACCTAAACACACATAGATGCATCCTTCTTATAAAAGGTCTCATACATTTTTAAGGCAGGTTTACTTTGAAGTGTCATAACGCCTTGGGTTTTTATTTTACCCCTCTAATTCACTTATGCTATTGTGTAGCCCTTTCGCTTTCTCTTTCGCTTTCTCTCTCTCTTTCTCTCTCTCTCTGTTTTCTTGGTGTCATAGGATTTATTTACGACGTCACTGTTGCTATGTATTGTATAATAAATTAACTATTGTGCCTAAACCAACATAAATCAATTAATTTTATATTATTTTAGACGGCAGAGGGAAGGTATGGGGTCAACAACTTGCATAAACCTGGACATTTTCATTTTTAAAATTAAATTCACAATTTTGGTCAAAACTTTTGTCTTGTAAATCTGGGGATTAAGCGTTGATCTCCAGTTTATGCAAACCTAGCTACAGATTGAAAATATAAGTAAGTAGTTGATCTCCAGTTTATGCAAACCGACAGATTAAAAAATGTAAGTAACTAGTTGATGTGCCCGGCGTTGACTGTGGAATTTGAAAAATAATAAAAAAAAAATATTTTTGAAATAAAAATTAGAATTTTTAAAGCATGTATGCACACCAATATATTTATATGAGCAAATAGCCTTTTTATATAGACTTGCTGAAGTGCCAGGTGTTACGCGTGCCAAAAAAATTCAGTTTGGAAAAAACGTTTGAAAATTATCTTTTTTGAAAAATGAATACCCGGCCCCAGGGTATTCATTGGCTCCCTCAACAAAGGAATTAAGTTCTTATCACAAACCCGTATTATATCTTTGCAATCTTCTGTCGTAGACCTTAGATATTTCAAACTTTAAATTCTGTTTGATATAATAATCTAAGTTTAAAATATCAAAGGTCTGCACAGTCAGGTTGAAAAGATATAGGGATCAGAAAATTTGAGTTTGTTGCAAAGACTCAATTCATTTCATTAAATTTGGTCCAGTTTTGACTAGCTATAATTAAGTAACCCCTGCATTGTCTGAAATGATATTTGCGTTTATTCTTTGCAGAAAATTTATCATTTTCGATTTTTTTTTTCTTCGTAAACTGACTTTCTGATTTATGCTGCTTCAGAGACAATAAAGACAATATTTAGAATTTAAAACATTTTAACGTTAAAAAGGACAATTTAATCAGTCAGAGATAGGCACCGTTTTGTGAATCGGACATTTTTATAATATCAAGTAAACAGTTTTGTATGTTACTGAGTTGCAATCTAATCTGGGCACTTTGCGCCACTTTTCCTGGGAATGATTTTAGCTTTGAATTGCTAATCTATCTGCAAGTTGTTCTTTTTCGTATCGGTGCCAATTTACACGTTTTTTAGATTAAATGATTTAAGCTTTTAATTTAATTTTAATTTTTCGTATGGATACTTCAAATAAGGAAAATTAAAATTTTTGCTAATTTTTTTTTTGTTTTCTGTCTAAAATTTTTTAAACTTTGGTTCTGCAGATTCGACAAAATATGCAAATAAATGAAAATATTTATTTTACAATTTGACTTTTTAATATATATATATAGTTGCTTGACTATCTGCACCTAATTTTATTTTGTGGCAATTGGCATCACGCGGCCCAGGTTAGGTAAAAGTGATAACCAGAAAACTGTAGAATAGTGAGACGACATTTAAGCAATACTGGAGTGCATTTGATGCCGTTACAAAACAAATGGCTTTTACTAGTAAGCTATTAATTCAGTTATAAAGTGAAATTGGTCTGCTTATACTGAACAATTGCTGTGTCTCATGTTCATTGGACTATTTAAAGTCATTATTGGACTATTGTCAGAACTTTAGATCCTATTTCGAGATCTAATTTACATCAGATAATCGGAAAAACCGCAAAATTATTTGCTTTCTAATGTATAAAGAAGAAATAACTGGTTGAAAAGCAACATTTAAAAGCTAAAATTCTTCCTACATAAATGGCGAAAAATGCGAAAATTTTTGCTTATTTCGCTCTAATCTGATTCGCGAAAATATGTGAAATTTTCGCAACATAGGAATTGCGAAACTTTTGCGAAAGAATTAAAAAATTCGAAAAAAAATGCAAAAATTCTAGAAAAATAATGCATTAATTTCGCAAAAACAACGAATTTATGTGAAAAAAAACACGAAAATTTCGTGACAAAATACCGAATTTTTAAAAACAAATGTAAATTTGATTGCGAAAATTCATCGAATAAAACATAATTTCGAGAATACAAGACGCATATTCCGCGAAAAAAAGTTTTTGAGGGACTTATCCCACTCGAAATATAAAGCAACCTAATGTGTAGATTGAAGAACAATTAGGAGACAATTCATATATTTGCTTGTAAGTTATTAATACTCTCTCAACCATTAGAATCTTTTCTTAAAACTCAATATAAAATCTATTACGGGCAGAACAAAAATAATTCGGAATATTTTAAAATCATCCTGTAAACTAAGTATCCATACTTCCAAGATACGTTATACAATTTTACTTTTTAAACTTGCTGTTACTTGTTGTCGTTATACAAGAATATGATTAAACATTTTTATTACAATTATAATAATGATAAGTTCAGTTTTTTTTATAGAACAGCAAATTTTTGTTTCAATTATCACATTGTCCAATCAAACTTTCGCAAAAAAAATATAAAAATATTTTCGCGACTATATTTTTTCGCAAAATTTTGCTCCGTTTTTGCATTTTTCTATTCATTAGTTTTCGCTAAAAAATGCAGAATTTCGCGAAAAAGTTTGCGAAATACAAACGAAAATGTTTGCATTTTTCGCGAAACGTTTCGTTCGCTGGAAACCCTACTAATATCTGAACAGAAGGTATTCAAATTTCAGCTGACAGAAAGAAGATATATATTTAAATATTTGTGTAAAACGTTACCTCTATGATCTTAAAATCATCATCTGTGATAGCATATTTTTCCTTCAAGTCAGATCGAATCTGAAATAGAAACAAGATTTTTAAAGCATTTTTTTCCCACAAAAAATGTCCTTAATTGTAAATGTAACAAAATGATAAAGATATTTCTATTGTGTATTTCCATCCACAGTTTAGGCTCAACAGATTTGATCTAATTGTTGTGGCAACTATTCACATGACAGGAATGTTCTGGTTCAGAATAAAGATATTACCAAAATGAATTACGGAAGAATGATGAAAATCCCCCAATAAAAAACAAACAAGAGTTATTTCTAAACCGACCAAAATAGTAATATTTTACCTTGATCAAACCCTCCAAAGCGTTCTCATTATTTGTTCCTTCAAGAGCATCAAATATAGCTGCTCCAACCAATAAGTAGGTAAACGTTACTATCACCAGAGATAGGGTTTGAACCTTCAATACAAAGATTAAGAAGCAATTAAAAAATTATGATGACTTAGAAAATTAATTCCAAGATGAGAGTTTTAAATCCCAACAAATGAATGAAAAATTAATTCTCCCATCATAAGAAATAAAGATGGCTGCTTAAAATGAATGAAATAAAAATGAATGCTTCCATAAAGATTAAAGATGACTACTCCCATCAAATAAACTTTAGGTGGCTGGTCCCATAAAATAAATTAAAGATGTCTTCATCCAAAACATTAATTTAAGATGTCTGCTCCCATTTTCAAAATTAAAGATGGCTACTCCCATTTGATGAATTAAAAATGGCTGCTCCCATCAAGTAAACAACAGATGTAATGCTTCTAAAAAAATATTTAGAGATGGCTGATCCCATGAAATATATTAGAGATTGCTGCTCCCATCAAATGAATTAGAAATAGCTGCTTCCATTAAAGATATTAAAGATGTCTGCTCTCATCATACAAATAAAAGATGACTGCTCTCATCAAAGAAATAAAAGATGACCGCTTTCATCATGCAAATAAAAGATGACTGCTCTCATCATACAAATAAAAGATGACTGCTCTCATCATACAAATAAAAGATGACTGCTCTCATCATACAAATAAAAGATGGCTGCTTTCAGCATATATGTTAAAGATTACTATTCCCAACAAATAATTTTAAGATGACTGTTTCTAATTTATAAATTAAAGCTGGCTGATCAATCTCCGCCATGGATAAAACCGTCAAGTTTTCCTAACAAATAGATCAGAACTAGTATTTCATTTTGAAATAAAAAATATGATAAAAATGATGACATAATTAAAATAACGTATAATAAAATGAGAACTGCTTAAACTTACAGAAAGCTAATTATGGTTGAAAAACGTTAATACCAAATTAGGTACCGAATATCCATTTTAAAACATAATTAGAATATGAATGATAAGATTATATTTATACTTACATTTCTTCTCTTCATGTTAGCTCGTATATCACAGTTAAGCTTAGTTTAGCTCAGTTTAGCCCATTTTAGCTCAAGTCAGCTCAGTCTAGCACATTTTAGCTCAAGTCAGCTCAGTTTATCTTAGTTTAGCACATTTATAAGCTCAATTCAGCTCAGTTTAGCTCAATTTAACTCAGTTTAGCTCAGTTTAGCTCAGTTTAACTCATTTCTTGAGCTGCCAGAAGACAATAAAATACGATTACAAACATTATGTTTATTTTATTTTAAAATCTAAAAACAGGTTTTATAAAATATGCATGTTGAAACTAGAGTTTGTTAAAAATAGAATCAAGATAATCAAAAATCATTAAATTCGAGCAAATCACAGAAATCCCGAAATTGCAGATGAAAATCCTGAAATAGATGTGTGTTGTTTTGTTAGAAGAGAGGACACTGTTGATTCTCATCCTCTCACAGCCTCCATCCTCTACACACATAGATAGTTAGATACATAGATGCATATATAGATAGTTAGATAGATAAAAAATAGGATAGATAGATAGTTAGAAAAATAGATAGATAGATAGATAGATAGATAGATAGATAGATAGATAGATAGATAGAAAGATAGATAGACAGATGTATCTGAATTCTTCATTCTCCTTTTTTTGCATAATTTATTTATTATATTGCAATCCAAATTGCAATTTAAAACTTTTCAATTGTTTATTCTCTCTTCTTATCAAAAGAAGATTTGAATTTGTCCACTCACCATATTCCCACTGAATATATATTTCCAAAAAGAAAATATAATTTTGAATAAAAAAAAATATTATAAACAAAGAATTATTGTAATCATCTCAAAATTGTACAAATACTGATAAAAGCTCCAATGTCAAAAAATGTAATGATTTTTTTTGGAGTGACTTCAAGCGTCATTTTAATTGACCCGCCGTGCTAAAAATGCTAGAAATGAAAGTGGATGTGTGAAAACAAAATTAACAAAGCAAGTATTTAATATTTATTTTTCTTTAAAAAGAACATTCATTTGATTAAAACGTTTATTTAGATAATACATGTTGTTATATAATACATGTTGTTATATAATACATGTTGTTACATAATACATGTTGTTATATAATACATGTTGTTATATAATACATGTTGTTATATAATACATTAATGTCTTATTTTATACATTTTATTTTATAACACTATTTTACATGAAACATTATGTTACAGTAAGAACCAGAAAACTGTAGAATAGGAAGACGACATTAAAGCAGCACTGTGTATTGTGTATTTAATGTTGTTTCAAAGCCAATAGTTTTACTTGTTAAGTAAAATGGGTCTTTTTACACTGCACAATTGGCGTGTCGTGTCTCATATTCATTGCGCTTTTCAAAGTTATATCTTGCCATCATCCTTTTACAGAGTTTTCTGGTTCTCATGGTACATAAAATATTATGTAATATAAATTATACATTGTAATACATTACACATTTCTTTACAATACACATTACAGTTACATAATACATTGAGTTGCTATCACAAATTGAGATCTTAGATATAATAAATACTGGATCAAGGCATACTGTCCTGTCTTGCATAATTTCCCCTAAAATGAATATAGGGGAAAATGCAGAGGAATCGCTAAATTGCCACAAAAATAGTTTAGATTAGACAGATAAATTATACAGAGCCCGCGATTTAAAAGCTTCGGCTCGGGTCTGAATTCCTTAAACGCAGCTTTAAGACCCAATCTTAGACCCAACTCTGACGACAGCTTGTGTCACGTGATTGACGGCTGCGAGATCTTAGGCTCGACTTAAGGAGTTCTGTTATCATTTAAAAATCGGCATTGTTCTAATTGCAACCTTTTTTAATCTTTCTTTTCGGTAATGGGAGTTGCCACAAAAACATGGGCTGATAGGTAAAGGCTCAGCTGTTTTGACGTTTCTGGATAAAACAAACCAACAACAATTAGACAAGCCAAGTATGTTAAGAAGAAGTACAATTTGGCAATCTTGGCAACTAATCTGAAATCTAAGTAAAGCATTTTTAAGAATTTTAAAATTGATAAACTATAATTCATTTTTTTCTGAAAATTCTTAAGTAAAAGTGTGCTGATTGCTTAATCGACCTAAAAATTATGAAATTTCTGATGTCCTGATAAATTGAATGATCCATACATCTAACATTTTCTGATATTACCCCTCGAGTCAAAGGAACAGGGGCGGATACGTCTCTGTACATCATTTCTGTGAGCAAATTTTGAAGGATTTTTTGAATTTCCCGCCGAAATAGGGACCACATGTTTCTGGCGCCAAAACTTGTAAGGGGAAAATCAGCTGATCCATGCTGAATCAGTTCTAGCGCCATTTCAAGCCGCTGAAATATATCGTAGGCATCAAGGAGGACATCAGCATAGGAAAGTTCACGATCGTTGACCATCAAAGATGAGCTAGGAACAATATCTTCATAACTAAAATTAAATGACAATATTAAANGCTGATAAAAACAATTTTTTATTAAACCAACCAAATAAAACTTCTCCAAAGATTACCTCAATGTTGGAAGCTCTTGGTCCATTTGTCTGTAGGATTTATCAAAAGTCTGTTCGCTGTATTCGTTTTTATAAAACTCTACAGCTGTACTCAACTCTTGCAACTGTTCTTTTAATCTAAAAAACAATAATTTGTTGTGATTTTCAAATATTTAATATTTTCAGACCTAATGTGACGGACAGTGAACATTACAGGACTGCGAATTTTTGTTAGTGCAGCCAAAAAGTGACAAAAGGGACTTTTAAGTAATTTAACGACAATACAATACGAAAACATAGAATCCCTTCGCAATCAATAGAAATCATTTCGAATTCCTTTACATTCCATAATAATTGCATTAATAATCACTTTACAATTCATTATATAAAATCCAGGAAAGTTGCATTATAAAATAACTTTACTACCCATAAAAATGAGAAAATCTAGGACAGTTTAATTATAAGATAACTTAACAATCCATAAAAATTATAATATCCAGGAAAATTTCATTATAAAATAACTTTACAATCCATAAAATTATAATATCCAGGAAAATTTCATTATAAAATAACTTTACAATCCATAAAAATTATAAAATCCAGGAAAGTTTCATTATAAGATAACTTAAAATTATAATATCCAGGAAAATTTCATTATAAAATAACTTTACAATCCATAAAAATTATAAAATCCAGGAAAGTTTCATTATAAAATAACTTTACAATCCATAAAATTATAATATCCAGGAAAGTTTCATTATAAAATAACTTTACAATCCATAAAATTATAATATCAAGGAAAGTTTCATTATAAAATAACTTTACAATCTATAAAAATGACAATAACAATATGGAACCCAGATCAGATATTTCATTGACAGAAAATTACTTTTCTTATATCGTAAAAATAAACAGTGTAACAGTGAAATATCCTGTTTATGAAATTTCCTGTCGATGAAATTTCCTGTCGATGGAATATTCTGTCTGTGAAATGTCCTGTCTGTGAAATGTCCTGTCTGTGAAATGTCCTGCCATTGAAATGTCATGTCTGTGAAATGTTCTTTCGATGAAATTACCTGTCTAAGTAGTGTCTTGTCTATGTAATGTCCTGTCTATGTAATGTCCTGTCTATGTAATTTACTGCCTGCGAAATGTCCTGTCTGTTAAATGTCCTGTTTAAAAAATGTCCTGTCAAAAAAATTTCCTGTCTATTAAATGTACTGTAAAGTATTAAATATTATTTAAAACTAACCTTCGAACGTGTCTGCTACCTGTCTGGGTAGGCTGGAAGCGTCCTGAAGTAATGAATGAATTCCAGAATGAAGTCTCCAGGTTCTGGTTTCTACAGCTCCGAACTATAAAGCTGCTGACCTCTCCTCCCTGGTGCAGAGCTACTACTAGGACTAGGAGAATATTCATCTTCAATAGTTAGAATAAGATTTTTTAAAACTTTCAATCTTTGAATTTAGATCCTTAATTCTTTTCAGATTCTTCTTGATTTTCAGATTCTTCTTGATTTTCAGATCCTTTTTATTTTTTAGATTCTTCTTAATTTTAAGGTTCTTCTTGATATTCAGATTCTTCTTGATTTTCAGATTCTTCTTGATTTTCAGATCCTTCTTGATTTTCAGATTCTTCTTGATTTTCAGATTCTTCTTGATATTCAGATTATTCTTGATATTCAGATTATTCTTGATTTTCAGATTCTTCTTGATTTTCAGATTCTTCTTGATTTTCAGATCCTTCTTGATTTTCAGATTCTTCTTTACTTTCGATCTTTATTGTCTTGATCCTTTGTTCAGCTTTGTATTGTCTTTCTTGGTGATATCAATATTAATATCAAATTTTAGTAAGATTTTTTTTAAATCCAGTATTAGCTTTAGCTTAAAAAAGTGATAAACTCAATGTTCGTAAAATGTTCGAAGTTTTTTTTATTTTTTCGATTCGATTTCGTTTTCGTTTAGTTCACGCCAGCTTACAGATTGATATCTATTGACTTTCCAAAATATATTTATTTTTCAAATGTATTTTTGAGTTGTTGTTCTAATGGTGGGTGGCGCTCGACTGTTCCTTATGTTTACAAAGATTCCTTTTTAACCCCACTCTCAGTCATAGAGAATACTCTCCACCCTCATCCTCCTTTTTCACCTATTTTAGGAAATGTGGGGAACCACAGAAACTACCCGTTAAATGTTAATTTAATATAAACAATCATGATATTTAATTATTCAGTTTTCAACGCAGTCACTTCTCTCTCTCTTTATTTTGAGTCTCTATAGACATAAGGAGAGAAGGTCAAATAAATGCAAAATTACATGCACGATTTTGTGACCACGTGGCTCCTCCAATTTAACGACTTTGTGACCACGTGCCTCCTCAAATTTTAAGACTTTGTGACCACGAGGCTTCTCATGTACGACTTTGTGACCACGTGGCTCCTCATGCACGACTTTGTGACCTCTTGGCTCCTCATGTACGATTTTGTGACCAAGTGGCTCCTCAAATTTTACGACTTTGTGACCACGTGACTCCTCATGTACGACTTTGTGACCACGTGGCTCCTCATGTACGACTTTGTGACCACGTGACTCCTCGTGTACGACTTTGTGACCACGTGACTCCTCATGTCCAACTTTTTGACCACGTGGATCCTCATGTACAACTTTGTGACCACGTGGATCCTCATGTACAACTTTGTGACCACGTGGATCCTCGTGTACGACTTTGTGACCACGTGACTCCTCATGTCCAACTTTTTGACCACGTGGCTCCTCATGTACGACTTTGTGACCACGTGGCTCCTCATGTACGACTTTGTGACCACGTGGATCCTCATGTAAGACTTTGTGACCACGTGGATCCTCATGTAAGACTTTGTGACCACGTGGATCCTCCAAGTTTGATTAGACGTCCAAGTATGAGGAAAACTAAGAAAATGAGTTCTTGCCACAAAAACGAATTTCCTAAATCTTTGCAACCTTATATCGTAAACCTTTGATATTTCAAACTATAGATTTTGTTAGATCAAATAATCTACATTTGAAATATAAAAGGTTTACAGAATAAGCTTGCAAAGATAAAGGGATTAAACTCAAAAACATCAATGTTTTAATTGGTTAATGGTCGCATATTAGAAGTTTAAAATATGTTTCTTCTTGTCAATAGGTATTTGAAAAAACAATATGATTGAAAATATGTAAGATATACAATATAATGTGAATTTTAATTTATTATATTTGTATTAAAATCTAAAGCTTGAAATCCCGTTTTAAAGTTTGCACACGGAAGTGAACCGGAAATACCGTTTCCATTTAGAAAAGGGTTCCGGAAATCCCTGATTATGAATCTTTCCTTTCGGAAATTGAATTTTGTTTGGTAGACAGGATTTTTCGGATTTTTAATTTTTCCTTTCAGCTCCATCATTTTAGTTCGATTAGAATTAATTGACTTGATTATTTTAAAACCTGATGTAAAGAACTTGTCAAATCTTGTATTCTAACAGTTGGAGTTTGGTTTGGTAAAATTATTTATTGGCTATTTTAAAAAATACGAAAAAAATTGTTTCTAACACCCATATAGGCATAGAGAACTACAATCTAATTCACCAAAATCCTACAATAATCCTTTGGTTTTCATTTTTTGTCTATCTTAATATCCCATCATTAATTAAAAGTTAAAAACTATTTTATTTTCATCTTTGGACTAACAATACTATTCATTTTTTTCACTGATATATGGATATATTTATTGTTTTATTTATATAGTTTCAGTACCTCTTCAATCAGCAAATAGCAGTGTCTATTTTTGTCAATACAAACACTCAAATCATAACGAACCAATTAATTCTCACTTTTCATTCATTTATTGAAAAATTCATTCTTTTATTTCTATAATTGACCAAAAACAAAAATATCCAAACTAATAAAAAAATTTACTTTTCATTAAAAGTTAAGAAAACATTCTCTCACTTGAGTAGATTACACAAATGAAGAGTTTAACAACTACAAAGTTACAAACTTGAGTAGATTACACAAATGAAGAGTTTAACAACTAGACAGACTTGAGTATATTACACAAATGAAGAGTTTAACAACTACAAAGACTTGAGTATATTACACAAATGAAGAGTTTAACAACTAGACAGACTTGAGTATATTACACAAATGAAGAGTTTAACAACTACANTTTTATTTAATTTTCAGTTTTATTTAATTTTCAGTTTTATTTAATTTTCAGTTTTATTTAATTTTCAGTTTTATTTAATTTTCAGTTTTATTTAATTTTCAGTTTTATTTAATTTTCAGTTTTATTTAATTTTCAGTTTTATTTAATTTTCAGTTTTATTTAATTTTCAGTTTTATTCAATTTTCAGTTTTATTCAATTTTCAGTTTTATTCAATTTATTAAAGAATTAAAATCATCCAAAAAAGGGTTTCTCTCTTTCCCTTCATGTTCAACTTTTGTATAATTAAAATTGCTCTGCAGATTTATTACACTGAACTTAGAGACAATCAGACTAGCTGTGATTAAGACGTTTTAATTAGTTTGTGTCCATTAAATGTCAAAACGGCTAAACGGATTAGGTACAAATTTTTTGTGGGACCTCACGTGACCCCAGGGAAGGCTTATGGATGATCAAAAGTTTAGAAATTAGCCTTTAACAATATTCGATTTTTATTAATATTTGAAATCCACAATTTTTTTTTATAAATTCCGCAATTTTTTGCTTGTTTTACAATACATACAAGGAGAAAATGTTTACAATTGAATTAGAATAAATTTAAATCTTTCGTTTTAACCATTTTAGACTTCTTTTCTTAGCTAACATAATCTCGAATTGGGCTTAACACGATCAGTTAGTAAGTAAGTAATCCTTTATTTATGAAAAATAACAAAAACATAGAAAATTAAGTGTTTAAGGAGAAAATATTTTTAATGTATTGAATGGCACAATAGGTAATATTTTCTTGTATTTAATCTATAAGAATGCAAAAAAATAGTTCAGTTTCCCATTGCTAGCCACCAATGTCATTTGTGAAGTTCTTATAGTCGGTGCTGAAAAAGTTGGCTGGTGTCAGATAAGACATCAATTGAACTTGAAACTACAAGTATAGAACGAAGTATGTCCTATCAGTATTATCATATTTGTATTCAAAATCCAACGAAAAACTTAAATATTTAAGATATATGTATTATTTCAAAACTTTTGAAGAAAAAATGATGTCATTTTTTTATTCATCATTCTTTTAGTTATGCAAATTAATAATTTCTCGAATCATTCTGATTTATATTTGTCTTTTCTGTTTTTTACTCTGAGAAGATTTTTAATTTTGAATTCTGAAACATTTGTATGTGTAATATATGTTGTACGTCATTACTTGTGCAATGTAAACAAAGGAAATGGGCCGGGGTTCCCCGGCTACAGTTTACAAGAAGCTGTGTCATAGCGCAGGGACTCAATTCCTTTAATCGTTTATGTGATATTTCGAACTATACATTCTGTTAGAGTAAATGGGCAAAGTATAAAATAGTAAATGTGTTCACCAACAGGTTGCAAAGATATAGAAATTGGAAAATTAAGGTTTGTGGCAATTATTCACTTTGGTTCAATTCTTAAAAATTTTGTTGAAATTGGAAAATCAAGTCTTTCACTTCAGAGCTTGGAACTCTTGTATTGTGAATATCAAGAAAAATACTTGATCTGCATGATTACTGCTGTGAAGGGAGGATAGCCATTTCAATAGCTATAGAATTTATATTTACTCGACGAAAAGCTTTCCACGATGTTGTTCAGGATAGTCGAAATTAAAATACTTATTAAAGAAATCTGAAAGAAAGAAACGATAATTTTTATTCGATATTTTGTATGGTTATCTTTACAGTCCGGGGTTGAGGGGAGCTTCAATTAAGAGATTAAGCATTGATCCTCAAATTAAAAGTGTCCACAGTGGTTATCGAGATCAATCGATCGGGATTAAATCCAACGCAAAAGGTCCCAGCTTAGATTATTTACATAGAATATTGTCTAGTGAGAGAGAAAATAAAAAAATATTTTAGGGCAAAATAATTTTTCTTAATCTTAAAATATTGTCATTCATGATAAAAAACCATCCAGTTGTTTTTAAACTAAATTTAATTTATTATTATTCTGCATTGTGTTGAAGGGGGAGTGTGTGGGTGGATGAAAAGGATTAATGATGTTCACTGCACGTGTTGTAGTGAAAGTGGAGTTTAATGTGCTAAATTTGGAGGATATATAAAACATGGAGGGTAAATTTGGTTTAGAAAAAAATGTTTTCAGTAAACGGTGCCAGTACCTACCAGTACCTACCAGTACCTACCAGTACCTACCAGTACCTACCAGTACCTACCAGTACCTACCAGTACCTACCAGTACCTACCAGTACCTACCAGTACCTACCAGTACCTACCAGTACCTACCAGTACCTACCAGTACCTACCAGTACCTACCAGTACCTACCAGTACCTACCAGTACCTACCAGTACCTACCAGTACCTACCAGTACCTACCAGTACCTACCAGTACCTACCAGTACCTACCAGTACCTACCAGTACCTACCAGTACCTACCAGTACCTACCAGTACCTACCAGTACCTACCAGTACCTACCAGTACCTACCAGTACCTACCAGTACCTACCAGTACCTACCAGTACCTACCAGTACCTACCAGTACCTACCAGTACCTACCAGTACCTACCAGTACCTACCAGTACCTACCAGTACCTACCAGTACCTACCAGTACCTACCAGTACCTACCAGTACCTACCAGTACCTACCAGTACCTACCAGTACCTACCAGTACCTACCAGTACCTACCAGTACCTACCAGTACCTACCAGTACCTACCAGTACCTACCAGTACCTACCAGTACCTACCAGTACCTACCAGTACCTACCAGTACCTACCAGTACCTACCNGGGGGGGGGGGGGGGTTAAGAGAAAAAAAATCTCTAAAATATCAAGTCGATTTTTAAATTTTTAAATACATATTAATAATTTAAATTTTTTAGTTTTTGAGCGAACTATAAACAAAAGTATGAGCAAGCAGTGAACATGCGTCCTGGAAAGTTTAAGATCTAAATAAACAACTTCAATTTGTGTATTCAAACTTCATAAATATCTTACTCAGGCTGATTTCGTCATTATGACGTCTGTCCGACCAAACCAAACCAAAATGAATGCGTATATCCGTTGGATTGCAATGATCTAGAGAATTCTCTTAGTTAGACACTGTCCAGTAAAATTAAATTTTATGTTACCTTCCATTTAAAAAAAGGGGGCCATCATGCCTGATCCAACCACAGTCCCGTTAAAACTTTCATCTGAGCTGAAAACTTTAGAATGGATAAACTTTAATCCTGACTTCTTGATCCGAATATCCACTGTGGAAACTTTTCATTTTAGTCCTTAATCCACTCTTTTTCTCTCTCTCCTTGGATATCCATTAATTGTTTTCTCCAATGAGAATATTTCTGTTCTCTCATTGGTTGCCCGCTTTTCTCTGATTAAATATTAATTTGAATTTTATCGTTTTTCATACACTTTTAAGATAATCTTGCAAGATTATGTTAATCTGGAGATTAAGAAAAAGAGTGGATTAAAGCCTTAGTCCCGATATCCACCATTCAAAAGTACCCAGCTCTGATCAATTTATTGGAGAAGATATATTGAAAACACAATTTTAAAGTATTTCAAAAATCTTAAAAAGTAAAAATAACCGAATATTTATGTTCAGAAACGCACATTTTGCACTTGCAAGAAGCTAAAGTTTGGAACAGTCAGGTTTTTATGTTCATAAAAAAATTAGAGAATTTGCCATCCACAATTATGAAAAATGTACTGTACACCAACCAATGAAACCGTGCCAACATAGGAGTGTTGTCAGGAGTAGGAGTCAGATTTTTGATCTTTTATACTTTTTTGTAGCTTAGATCAAGAAAATTTTAATGTTCGTTTTTAATTTAAAATGAGAGTTTTATTTTTGTTGAAAGGGGAGTTCAGTTATAAACCCCTTGAATGCTGTCTATCTGACTAAAATTACCAGATAAACTAAAATTGTAGATTTTTTATATTTCATCAATTCATAATTTATTTTTTTATTTATCCGTAATAAATTTATAAATTTCGAATCTTCAGTTTTTTAAACTTTCTTTCTCATATGCCCAATATCATTTTCCTTTTCAAGTTTTTCATGTTGCTCACTATAATCTCGTTGTTCTCTATGATGTCGCTGTTCTCTCTGTTATCGTTGTTTATGATGTTCTGACTGACTCGTTGTTTGTTCTATTCTTGTTATTCGTATTAATCTCTGTAGTTTCGTTATTCTTTATGGTTTGGTTGTTTTCTATGGTTGCGTTGTTCTCTTTGGTTTGGTTGTCCCCTATGGTTGCGTTGTTCTCTATGGTTTGGTTGTTTTCTATGGTTGCGTTGTTCTCTATGGTTTGGTTGTTCTGTATGGTTGCGTTGTTCTCTATGGTTTGGTTGTTCTCTATGGTTTGGTTGGTTTTGATATTATCTCTCTCTATGACATGCAGAAGCGCTTGTAACTCGTACTCCTTCGAGGGCCTAAACATTATCACATTAATACAAATTAAAATACAAATAAAAAGAATAACGTTCAAGAGATGTATTTATAGACCAGAACACAATGTAATAAACTCTGAAATGTAAAGACGACTTTCAGAATGAAGATATGACTATAAATGGTACAATAAGCATGTACGCAGCAATTGTACAGTTTCAACAGACCCATTTCACTCAATTAGTAATTTAATAAGCACCATCAAATACACTTAAGTATTGCCATAAAGTCGTCTTCCTATTTCAGAGTTTTCTGGTTATCTCTGTAATTGTTCAATCATAGCTTAAGAACGCCTTTACTTGCCTTAGGGAACACACGGTAAAAATTTGAAAGTACTTAGTTAATATGTGACCTTTTAAACAGTCCTATTCTAATTAACCCGAGAAGTAATAAATTGATTGATAACTTCAAAGTCTTTGACCAGCTTAGAAAGTCATTATAGGTAACCTAATTTAAGCAATAATTTTTAAGAAACAATAATCACAATCCTGTTATTTCTAAAATGTGGTCCGACATTTTTTATCTCTCAAATTTACCAGAGATATTAAAAACTTGGTTGAAATTTCAATTTATTAAATAAAACCATACAAATATTTCTTTCTAAACGAAATCATTCATATCTCCGATAATTATTAAAACACAAAAATGACAGACACCATTTAGGAAATGTCACGAGGACCATGGCTATTCTGTGATAATTGTTTTATAATAAATGTTGTTTAAATCAGGTTACCTATGCTGAATGCCGCAAACTATTAAAGTCAAAGACGACTTTAAAGTCATCAATCAATAAATTTATATCATCTCGCGAATGGAATCGTCAAGGAAGCAAAGGGAAATGATGGATTACAACTTGTTTGTAATTGAAAAAACGGAATCAATGTTTTCAGTTGTGCAAATTCCGTATTCTCATCAACTTTGTGTTTTCGCGGACCACTGTATGCAAATTTTAACTATTTTGAATGCTTACCCATGTTGTGAGCAGTAGCATATAACAGCTGTGTTTGCTGTGAGATGACAGATATCCCTTGGTTTTCCTAGACACCCTTTCCTGCAGTACGCTTCACCAGGTATACTGTACATAAAATAAATATCTATAGTACATGAATTCTACATTAGGCAGTAAGCTTCACCAGGTATACTGTACATAAAATAAGTATCTAGTACATGAACTCTACATTAGGCAGTACGCTTCACCAGGTATACTGTACATAAAATAAATATCTATAGTACATGAATTCTACATTAGGCAGTAAGCTTCACCAGGTATACTGTACATAAAATAAGTATCTAGTACATGAACTCTACATTAGGCAGTACGCTTCACCAGGTATACTGTACATAAAATAAATATCTAGTATATGAACTCTACATTAGGCAGTACGCTTCACCAGGTATAATGTACATAAAATAAATATCTAGTACATGAACTCTACATTAGGCAATACGCTTCACCAGGTATACTGTATATAAAATAAATATCTAGTATATGAACTCTACATTAGGCAGTACGCTTCACCAGGTATGATGTACATAAAATAAATATCTAGTACATGAACTATACAGTACGCTTCACCAGGTATACTGTACATAAAATAAATATCTAGTACATGAACTATACAGTACGCTTATCAGGAATACTGTACATAAAATAAACATCTTTTACATGAACTCTACAGTACGCTTTACAAGGAACACTTTACATAAATTAAACATCTTGTACATGAACTCTACAGTACGCTTTACCAGGAATACTGTACATAGAAAATAAACAGCTTGTACATAAATTAAAAAAATTACATTTTATAATGGGTAATTTAAGAGTTTCAGAAGTGTATATCTATTATCTTCATGTTTGTTCTGAATTAGTATTAAAATCCATATTGGTGAAACAATAATGAAACGTCCAACCAACAATTCAAATTTTGATCCGAAATTGGTTTAAAAATGAATAATCTAACCTGTAATACTGAAGTTTTATTCCAGCAAAAACGCAAATGTCTTCAAACGCAGTGGTTGATTCGGTTACTGTGGTTGGTTGTGTAACTGTGGTTGTTTGCGTATCTACGGTAGGTTGCGTAATTGTCGTTGGCAGGGTAATTGTCATTGGTTGCGTAACCGTGGTTGGTTGCGTAACTGTGGTTGGTTGCGTAACTGTGGTTGGTTGCGTAACTGTGGTTGGTTGCGTAACTGCGGTTGGTTGCGTGACTGTCGTTGGTAGCGTAACAGCGGTTGCTGAACTTGTCCAAGCCGTAGAACCTGGAGTTGTTGGATGTATTGTTCCACCTATAAGATAAACATCAGAAGGACTGAAGACGTAATTTCAAATGACCTCCATTACAGAAATAGCATCTACCATTCCTAACGGAAATGCCACTTTACATATGGGGTGTCACTTGAAATGACGTCTTTATGTCAAATAAACGTTTAGCTAGTTAAAAACTTAAAACGAGCGGAAACCCAGTTAATAACCTTAAATCAAACTAACTAATCAATTTCGTTTATTGTTGTGTCATGTTCGACTTTCAGTAAATCAGACCCCCACCCCTCCCCAGACTTACACCTTTTCTAAGCTTAAAATTGTATTTTCTATTTCTGTAAATCTACATGAAAGCATTGTGATTGTGAATTAGAATCTTGAAGTGTGTAATAAATCTGCCAAGGCTAGCATAATCAATTAACTCAGGTAAAATAGGGGTTCTGGTAAAAAGTTCAGTAAGACTTAACCTTTAACCCATTTTCACCCATAACATTTTACGTATTTGCTATTTTAATCTTTTTGTTGGGATATGTATTATAAGTGTTTAGTATTTATGCTATATTAAGCATAGGGATAAAAATAAGAGCGCTGCGGCTATGACAGGCTAGGGGGCCGAGGGCTGCGGCCAGGACAGACCTTTAGTTTCAACAATTTTCAACAAAATTAGTATATATTTAAGGTTAGGTTAGACCAAGGCACTTTTTAGCCGAGCGCTGCTGCAAGGACATGGGCTAGGGGGCCGAGCGATGCGGATAGGAAAGGCTACGGCTGAGCACCGCGGATATGACAGGCTAGGGGCTGGGCGCTGCGGCCACATAACCAACTTAATCCTCGCTTTAAATATGAGATGCATGTGCAAAATTAATAGGAGGGGGGAGGGGGGTCCAAAAATCGTAAACTAGGAAATTACCCTTGATGTACCTTGATATAGTTAGTTATATTGTGCTGCTTACCTATAGTATCAGCCTTCACACAATCCTGTCCAAAGGGACAAAACTCCCCAACACAGATATCTGCACAGCCCCTTTATGTACACAAGAATTCATTTTAAGATTTAGATCAAGATTTAGTATTTTTGGCTTTCAGTTTAGAACGTATAAAAATATCTAAACATTTTTATAAGGAGATAAAAAGTCTCTACCACAAACTCAAATTTTCTAGTTAAAATTGGAAATCAGAGTTTGAAAAAAGTACGATCAATTCCTCTCTC